CGACCAGGCCAGCACCTCCGTCATGCATGCGTCGACTGGCAAGAACAGTTCGATGAACTGGCAGTCAATCTTGTTGAGGAACTGCTTGATGGCTTCAAACTCCAATGCATGCGCTGGGAGCCCCTCCACGGCCAGCTTGACGACAAACAGGAGCTTGGACCTCCGAGCATGAACTGAGCGGTGCCAATGACGGAAGGAGATCGACGCCCCCTCCACGCTGAACCTGCCGGACCACCCCAGGACGGATGCGCAGTCCTCCTCACGCCGAAAGGAGATGAGGAAGTCCGAGGGCCTGGTGACCTCGATGCGAACATCTTCCGAGGGAACCCTGCAGCGACGCCCCAAAGCTGCGACCACCATCGCCGGCGAGACCTCCCTTCTCCCGGACAGCACCGACGTGACCAGCGCACGCTTCCTCATCTGCTGCTCAATCGCGGCCATCCCAGGGGTCCAGGACAGGACTCCACGGCCCCCCTGCGGCCGCAAGAGGGGGGTCTCCAGCTCCAATGTCTTCCTCCATCGGCTTGGTACTGACGGACTTAACCGGGGCGGGCGGGGGCAACGCAGTAGGGGGTAGCGCCGTCTTGCTATGCACCGGCTGAGGATGCTCCTTGTCACCTGGGACAGAAGCGCTGGTGCTGGCGGCCAAATGCTGGGGACGCTTGGGCGCCGCAGCCGCCGGCACTTTCCGAGGAAGGGTGGCGTCGATGTCGACCTTGCAGTTGCGCTCGATATGACCTGGATACCAGCAACGATAGCAAGTTGGGGGTTGACTGCAGGAAGCCTTAAGGTGCCCCAGACCTAGGCAGCGAAAGCATCTGCCGTGGAGCCAACGCGGAATCGGACGGGGCTCCGGCGGAGTAAATGCGGTGGTTGGCCGACCGGCAGCAGAAGAGCCTTTACTCCTGCGCCTCACCACACGCCACCCCGCGTCGACTTCCTCCTGCGACAGGGACGGACGAGGAGCAGGCGGGGACCAGACGACATCCGCCCAAGATGCAGCAGAAAGCGCAGGGGCCTTATCTGGGCAACGGCCATCGGAGCGAGCGGCCGCCGGACGAGGAGTTGGTAGGTGGTTGGTCGCCGAGGCTCTCGCACTCTCTCTTATCTCTCTGTCACCACCGAGTCTCTCCTTTTCACCGATCTGTACACCGGTGGGCTTTGCCTGCTGGTCTCATCTAGCTCTACCAGCGATGGTGTCATGCAGTGATTCTTTCAGCATGTTCCTGTTCAAGAGGGCCAACAGTGTTGTTGATGAATCTGCAAAGGTGATGCAGAGGACCATTTTTTGTCCTCATGGCGTCTGATCTGGTGGAAATTGGAATGGGGAAGGTGAGGGAGCGATGATGCCAACATGTATGGCCCGGCGAGGTGGCCCAAGCGGCGCGATGCAAGCTTGCTGCAGGTAGCTCGTTGGCTGGAAGATGACAAACGGGGAAAGGAAGAAGAAGGGGGATGAATGAAGAAGACATGGGTATTTTAGTCCTAAAATATTAGAAAATGCATTGAAAGGGTATGTAGTGGCATATTTTTAACACTTGATAAATTACAATGGTATGGTTAAAAATAGGTGAATACTAATGGCATATTTCAAAACCGTAAAAATTATTAGGGTTAATTGGATCCATGCCACTACAGCGTTGCCAAATTGAAAAAATACCACTACTATTCGTCATATCGGCTGGGTGCCACTGTAATTTTGAGAAATTGGATCCATACCACTCAGTTGCGTTTTTCATCCACTCCTGTTGACGCCGTCTCTCCGCGTCCGAGGACCAAGGACACCTGCTGAAAAAAATCAGAGAGGAAAACAAAGGAAAAGGAAAAAAAATGAAATAGCTGCTACGGCCGTGTTTAAGCCCCGTTTAGTTCCCAAAAAGTTTTTCCCAAAAACATCACATCGAATTTTTGGACACATGCATAGAGCATTAAATATAGATTAAAAGAAAAACTAATTGCACAGTTAGGGAGGAAATCGCAAGACGAATCTTTTTAGGCTAATTAGTCCATGATTAGCCACAAGTGCTACAGTAATCCACATTTGCTAATGGCGGAGTAATTAGGCTCAAAAGATTCGTCTCGCGGTTTCCAGGCGAGTTATGAAATTAGTTTTTTCATTTGTGTCTAAAAACCCCTTCCGACATTCGGTTAAACGTCCGATGTGACATTCAAAAATTTTCATTTCGCGAACTAAACATGCCCTGTTTCCCCCCTATTTCCAACTTTCCGTCACATCATATCACATCAAAAACTTTCCTACACATATAGGGTGTGTTTGGTTGGGCTTTTCAACCTGCTTTTGCTTTTGCAAAAGCCAAAAGCCAACCAAAGGGCTCAAAAGCCACAGCTGCTTTTACCCAAAGCCAGCTTTTGGTGTAGTACAAATCAAAAGCAGCCCTCCCCCATGCTTTCAGCTGCTTTTGGGGGAAAAAAATTACCCACCACTGCCATTACACAAAAACAAATTGCGTGTTCCTTTTCTTTTCTCCCATCGGCATCGCTCCTCCTCCTCACTTTGCCGTCGCCGCCGCTCCTCCTCGCCCCACCGCCGCCGCTCCTCCTCGCCGAGACGCTGCCGTCGTCGCTCCTCCTCGCCGAGACGCCGCCACCGCAGCTCCTCCTCGCCGACACGCCGCCGCCGCCGCCACCCCTCTCGTCGCCTCCGCTCCTCCTTGCCCCGTCGCCGCCGCACCTCCTCGCTGAGATGCCACCGCTGCCGCTCCTCCTCAACGAGCCGCCGTCGCCGCCGCCGCCGCTGCCGCCGCCCCTCTCGTCCCGCGCCGGCCCAGATCCGCCGACGAGGAGGTGAGGGAGGAGAAAGAGGAGTACGAAGGGGAGGAGGAGGAGATGGACGGCGAGGTGCCGGTGTCCCCGCCGCCCGCCGTCGAGGCCGACTCCACCGCCGCCCGCGTCTACCTCCCCTCCGGCGCCACCACCGCTGCCACCGAGGCCGATGACGCCGTGCGCACTGCCGCTCCCCGCCGCCGCTCGAGGCCGACGACGCCACCGAGGCCTACTCCGCCGCCCAACCCGACGCCGGCGCCACTCTTGCCCTTCCCCGACCGGCGCCGCCCGACGCCGTCCCCGCCCATCCCTAACCGACGCCGGCCAACCCGACGCCAGCGCCGCTCCCGTCCTTTCCCGACCGGCGCCTCCTCCTCCCGGCGCCGCCGCCCCTTCGTTCGCCGGCCGTGGAGGAGGCGCGTCCTCCTTGCCGAGCCGCCGCCGCCGCCGAGGCCGATGACGCCGCCGCCGCTGCCATCTCCATCTCTCCCCTTATTTTCTTTCGACGAGTGTATGGCATGTGGGGCCCGCTTGTCAGCGGGACTAGTTATTTCAAAAGCCACAGCTGTTGAACCAAACGAGCTTTTTCAAAAGCCACAGTCCATATTTCACAGCTACTTTTCAAAAAGCCACAGCCCACAGCTACTTTTTCAAAAGCCACAGCTCAACCAAACACACCCTCAACTTTTTTTCCAAACTCTCAAATTTCTTTAACCTTCCAACTTTTTTTAGGAACTAAACACACCTACGATGAGCAGCCAGCATGTAGTGGCGTTGCCATCCATGAGCACCGCCCGAGCAGACTACCCATCAACGACTGCTGGCCATCCCATCCGTCCCTGATCGCACAGAGCTCGCTGGTCATCACCATCACGTCTTATAGAACCGCTTCTGCTTCTTGGACGGTGAACGCCGGGTTGGGGAACATCACCATCTTCTTGGCCCATGGCCAGTTCCTGGGGAAAAACCAGATTCGCAGATACCGATGGCCGCTCGAGCGACGAGGAGGGCTTGAACAGGATGCGGGACTGTTGTTGCTTGCTCCGTCGCTTGGGCGTCCACGACGGCATTGCGCGCCGCCGCTACTTGCCATTGCGGACCTCGCGCGCGCGGACGCCTCCGCGCCGGTGACAAGGAGGAGCAGGAGAAGGCGCCGGTGCCGCCCGTCGCCGTCGCCAAGCTATCCAGCCGCGGAAGCGCCCGCCACCTCCAGCCAAGGCGCCGGAAGCCCCACCGGAAACCAAGCCCAAGATTTCTCCGGCGCCGAGCTCCCTCGCCGTCGCCGCCACCAAGCTCCTTCGTCGCCGCCGCCAAGCTCCCGGATGAGGATGAAAATGGAGACGCTGTGAGAGATGAGATGGAAAAAGTGACGGGAGTGCCATGGTTCTGATTTTTGAAATTTTCAAGGGTTAATTAGATCCATGCCATTAAAATTTTGCCTGTTTTGAAATATACCATTAATATTTGCGTATTTGTAATGATGCTATTGCTACTTGTTTCTAATCTTAGTGGTGCCACTGAGATACGTATTTTGCATGTATTGGACAAAAATGCCCTCATCTTCTACCTCTCTCCCTCTTCCCCATCTTCTACCCTCTCTATCTTCTCACTGCGCCGCCATCCCGCCGCCGCGTGCTGCAGCAGCGGGGCGCGCGCTGCAGCTTGCTCCACCGCTGTGTCGCTGCTGCTGCCACCGCAGCTGCTGCGCCGCCGCGCGCCGCCGCTGCAGCTGCTGCCGTCGAGCCACATCGCGCCGCCGCCGCTGCCGCCACCGAGCCGCGTCGCTCCGCCACCGCTGCAACTACTGCCGCCGAGCCACGTCGCGCCGCCGCCGCTGCTGTGCCGCCGCGCCGCCGTCGCCGCGTCGCGTCGCTCCAGCCGCCGCCGTCGAGCCGTGTCGCCCCTGAGAAGGAAGAGAGGAGGGAAGAGAAAGGGGAAGAAGGAAGAAGGGGGAAAGGGGTAGTTTGGTCCAATTTTATCTGAAAATACATCCAAGGGGTAAGTGGTATCTTTTGGATATGTGTGAAATTATAATGACATATTTCCAAATACATGAATACCTTTTAATAACATGTATCTAATTAACCCAATTTCCAACGGCACCCAGCTGATATGACGAATAGTAGTGGTATTTTTTTAATTTGTCGAAGTTGCAGTAGTATGATCCAATTAAACCAAATTATAATGGCATAGATCTGTGCACAAATGAAGGAGTGACAGATCTTAGCCTTGGTTTTTCCATCGGACGGTGGGCGTGAGGCGTGAGTGGTGGTGCGCCTGTCCGCCCCGGGCAGTCGCCTCTCGCCGGCGGCGGGCTTGGACGGCCGGAGATAGGCCGCAAACTCGCGAAGGCGCCTCCGTCGCGGCGGCAGAAGCGGGTGGCGTCCTGTCGGTGGTCGGCGTCCGGGTGGGGGGTTGGGGGAACCCTCGCGGTCGCGGCGGCGGGGATGGTGAAGATAGTGACGTACAACGTGAACGGGCTGCGGCCGCGGGTGGCGCAGCATGGCTCGCTCCGCCGCCTCCTCGACGCCCTCGACGCCGACATCATCTGCTTCCAGGTCCGCTCAATCGCTCACCCCCTGCCTCCCCACCGCACTCCGCAGCACTGGCCGATGCCTCGCAATCTCATCATGTATATAAACCCTAGCTGTTTGATGGGGTACTACTTCAGTGATTCACTCACTGTAGGTCACCACAAATGATGTAATCGATCGCACTGTTATGTTCAGCAATACGCAAATGTGCTAAATTAGCATTGTGTTGCCATAGCCGCTTGATTTCATAGAGATTCAGAACGCGTACCGTTTGTTTATTTATCTCTGAACTGATAAATGAGCATTGTTCTGTGGTGGAAGCTGCACATTTGCTGTTAAATGTTTAGTCACGCCAACACGTGCAGTTTCTGTATGAACTATGAAGTAAGTTAAGCCCGCGATTCAGCAGAGCTGACTAAATTAATGTGATGTATTTCAGGAGACAAAATTGTCGAGGCAGGACTTGTCGGGGGATGTCATCATGGCTGAGGGATACGAGGCTTTTATTTCATGCAATCGTTCATCGAAAGGGCGTGGAGCTTACTCTGGTGAGTTTTTCTGGAGATTAACCAGGAAATACCCATCGACTGATTTGGGGTGGGGGTCTTTTAGCAACGCACTATTAGTTGAAGTTGCTTTTCAATCATTCAATCTATTGGTTAATTTACTTTGAATGTTGTGTCACGAAGTGTAAGTTTCTGTACTTAACTCTATTGTAGGTGTTGCCACGTTTTGCCGGGTAACATCAGCCTTTTCCAGTCAAGAGGTTGCTTTACCAGTAGCAGCTGAGGAAGGCTTTACTGGATTGCAAGAGACTGCAAAGAACAGTGAAACTATTGGGGATTTTGTTCTTGTAACTCCTGTGGAAGAGGAAGGTCTTGGTGAAGTAACAAAAGAAGAGCTGCTCAAGGTGGACAATGAAGGACGTTGTGTAATTACAGATCATGGACATTTTGGTTGGTCTCTTGTTCTGTCCCCTTGAAATATAGACAGCATAAGTAGCATTCAGCATGTTGATGTTTATTCGTTGCACATTTGATTTCTTCTCTTTATTTGATGATATTTACTGCACCATTTCTGCAGTTCTTTTTAATATATATGGCCCAGCTGTTGAAGAAGATGATATAGAACGAGTTCGCTTTAAGCTACTATTTTACAAGATACTACAGGTACTTCATGTGCATCTCAGTCAGTCAGTAAATTTTGGAGGAATAGTTTCACGATTGATTGATTTCTGCCAATGATAATAGCTTGTTTACTTACTCTGATTTTATTTCTTTTTAGTGCAAAATGTGCACCCCTCCTGTGTCTTCCTTAAATAACTGTTAATAGCTTAGTTAAAGGACTGTTATTTATACTGTCTTCATCTCATATCTTCTAGAGAAGATGGGAACATTTGTTGGCTCTTGGGAAAAGAGTTTTCGTTGTTGGTGATTTGAATATTGCACCTTCTTCAATAGATAGGTGTGATGCCCAACCTGGATTCGAGAAGCAAACGTAAGCTCATTTCCTTTTCCTTTTTAGTAAGATTTACTTGGACCGTTTTGGAATCTCAAGTCAAAGTTTTGCTGAACTTGCATGATTTTAAGACATGAAAATAAACTGAATAACCTCAGCACTATTACTAAATATATCAATTCGTTTCATAGGAAAATTCCATTTAACATGATCTGGTGATACTTTTCTCTGTAAGAACAATCTGCTGTTGAGGGCTGTCAAGGTCAGTGAGGCAACATCATATGAGAAGCAAAACTTTAGCATTTCAAGTGAAGTTCCATGCACAGGCCACGTGAACTTAGAGCTGCTTCTGCTTTCACCTATAATGACGTAATGCATCTTGCAGCACTAAGGCTGAAAGTTCAGTAGAAATTGTTGATAAGTGAAGCTTGAAATTTTTTGAACTTGACCTTCCACTTGTGATGAGTTCGCTAGTCTGATGATGTGCTTGATAATACATCAATCATTTATTTTATCCTCTCTTTAGAGTACTCTAACATGAAGCCACTTGGGAATGACAAATTACTTCATTACCCTTTCCCTAATTCAAGGTTTCGGAAATGGTTGAGATCCATGCTGAGAGAACATGGAGGTCCATTTTTTGATGCTTTCCGATCAAAACACCCTGAAAGGTATTGAAAGCTCTCTTTCTTTGTTCCATGCTTGTGTGCTTATCCAACCTATTTTAGTTTTTGTTATAATTCCAGTTACTCCATGCCTACAGGGTAGGTGTGTATTTCCCTGTTAATGTTAATCAATTTTTTCTGAAACTTAAGACCTACTCTGTATGCGGCCCATTATTGAGGCTTAGAAAGCATGCCTTGAATTTGTTAAATGGAACAAATATTTATCTTTTCTCTTTATAAGATTAACAACTATAGCAGACACAGAATTACTTGCTAACCATGTACCTTGATATTCTAACCTTGCTGCTTTTTCTTATGCAGAGTGGGAGCTTATACCTGTTTTAATCAAAAAGTTGGAGCTGAAGTATACAATTATGGTTCTAGAATTGATCACATTCTCATTTCTGGTGCCTGCTTCCATCACTGCGGTTCTGTGGATGACCACAGCATCTTTCCCTGCCATGTGGAAGAATGTGAAATTATGGATCATTTCAGAAGAGGGAATAGCGAAAATATGTCAATGTATAGAATGGTCGAAAGTTTTCTTTGCAGGATTTGCAGTGACACATTAGAATTATTTACTATATTACATTGTCCACAGGTGGAAAGGAGGGAGAAGTAGTAAGCTAGAAGGATCAGATCATATTCCAGTTTATATTGTGCTGAATGAGATACCTGAACTTCCAGTTCATAACACTCCTTCATCAGCTGCTAGATATCTTCCTGAAATCCGTGGACGGCAACAGAGCATAGGTGAGCAACCTTTTGTGTTCCTACTTAAGTAATATAGGCTTTTAATGTTTATTATAGCATTATAGCATATAACTTGTGAAGGCAGCCGCTCCTGGCCTTATTTGATAGTTTAGTTATGAGTACATACTTGCGTGCATATTGAAGTAATACTGTTTGTGTGCGCATTATGCTGACCAATTGTATTTTCCAACATGCAGTATCATTCCTAAGGAAAGGCATGATTTATGAACATAAAGATGCCATGTCCATGGATAGAGCAGATGAAAGCTGCTGTGGTGGTGGCTTGGAAAGGAAAGCTATATATAAGGAAGAACCACCAACTGATATAGCCAAATTTTCCAAAGGTAACGACCTTCATAGTGTCATCAAGCGGAAAATTCGTGATCAATTGTTAAATGAAGGTTCAAGTGGCAACTCCCATAATAGCACTGCAGCATTACTGGCAACACAAAGTAGAAAAGCTTCCTTTTCTTGCAGCAAGGCTGTGTCCAACAAGAAAAACAAACATAACTTGTCTTCCCAACCTACGATCAAGTCATTTTTTCAACAACCAAAGTCAAAGCCAGGAGATAGCAGTACCAATAGCATAGTTACTCCACCAGATACTTTGCATGGTATGGATGAATTACATGATCCAAAGAATGACTGTCTGCCAGAAAGCATCCAGTGTACAACTCCAGCAACCGAAGATCAGGGTAACTCAGATGTACCCTGCTCGCTTTCAACAGATAAATGCAATGAAGCAACACTGGAGTGGCAAAGAATACAGCAGAGAATGAAGATGACCCTACCACTTTGCAAAGGACACCATGAACCTTGCATTCCAAGGTCTGTGAAGAAAGGCTCTAATATTGGTCGCCTATTCTATGTCTGTGCCCGTGCTCAGGTATTTAACTTCAGAATCAACTGCTCAATTCACATCCGAGGAACAATCATAAAGGTAGTTCATATTGACAGAGGATGAAAAGCATTGGCATTGTGCTGTAACCACCATGTATTGTCTATGACAGGGACCTGCATCAAACCAAGAAGCAAATTGTGGTCACTTTCAGTGGGCCACTGTTAAGTCTAAAGAGAAACGCCGGTGACTAATTTCTCTTTTATCGCATAGGTGTAACACTCACTGTAAGTATTTACTTCCATACTGTACGTGGTGGTGCTATTATTGGGCAATTTTATTTGTTTAAGTGCTAACTTCTGTTTTTTTCCCCAAGTAGCCTGGACATGTGTGTGTCACTTGTTTCTATACACATGAAATGCTGATGTTCTTCTCGGGAGCAAGCTGGTATTTGAGTCAGCAACTCGGCATTAATCTCTAGTTATGCATTACGCAGGTACATAATTTAATTTTGTGTTTAATTTAGATGGCTACCATGGCCTCCTTTGTTGTTTACATATGTTATATTGTTTGGTCAAATGCCACCTTGTAGCTTTCTCGTAGTTTTGTTTTCTCGGGTTTGGCTAGCTTATGTTTGCAACTACCCTTGGATGTATTAATTGAAAAACTAGCTGAGAAGCATGAAAAGAAATCAAGTGAAGTAAATTGTGTACTAGCAGTATATTGTTCTGTTCCCACTATGAGAATTAGGCACTTGAATCGTGTTTCTGTTTTCTAAAAAAATGTGGCCTCACTGAGCATAATTTGTGGCATTTTGTTGCTGGTCAATTTTTGCCCTTGCACGTTTGCACCTATGTTGTTCTGAGCTCTTTGGGTAACACGGGTCTATATTTGAGACTTGAGAGGATCTTTGGGCCTCTTGCCGATTTGGCCCTTGAGGATATGGCTCGAAATCGAATATTGTAGGGCATTATGCTAGTCCATGCCCTCATGGAAAGCATGATATACTTGCTCTTACTTGAATAACATAACACCAAGCAACCAACTATCGTTGCATGATTCATAGGGTTTTTTTATTATGTACGCCCAACGAGCATCTCGTTTGGAGCAACTGAAATGGATATTGAATTGCTTCTGAAACGAAGCACCGGCTTTCAGTTGAACTTCTGCAAGCTTCAGTTAACTTGAAATCCAGTTCTGTTCTAGGTTAAAAATAAAACACGCTTAATTGCAGAACATGTTGAAAGGCTTGAAGCTCATGTGGCTCACCGTGCATTGTCCTTCGTTTTCGTCCTTTTAAGAGCAATCGATGGATGGAGAAAACGTACAAATCCACGTGTTACATGGTGAATACCGGATAGGGATCGTTCCTATTCAGCTAGTACTATATTATTGGAGAGTTTACTATAGGCAGCTGACCGAGGGAACCTTGACAGCAAAGCTCCCATTTGTCTGTAGTGTGATTCCCGTGGTAATTTATCTTGCAACCTGAACCTAAAATAGAAAAGTATCATGTGTAAAAGATGCTAATTGAGATGCCCTTGGACTTAGAGACTCATCACATCCTGATTCTATTGTACAGCCTGCCAGTAGACCACAATACCACATGGCTATTGCAAGTTTGTAACACTTTCACCTTTCTCTGCTAGTAGGTGCTTCTGCTGCTGCATCTCTGCAATCAATCAATCTATGGCTTGTAAATCTGAATCAATTAAAAGCTCCAACCTTTTCCCCCGACATGCCATTCCATGAGCGCCTGGAACCTTCATCTTCAATTCACCATGACATGTTGACATTATAATACGGCATCCAACCATACAACGCAACACCATATATGACCCACCTCACTCACCTATCATTGTCCTCGTGGCCCCTTTCCCCTCACTATCCCGCCATAAAAACCATCACTCCCTATGAGTAAAGAACTCCAAAAACGTTCTTGTCCTTAGAAAAAAAAATCTTGTTTGGCCAGCCACACCTAACGCCAGTTCAACCAAGAACTCGGCTTTGCCTCTGTTCCTCCTTCCGAGTCCCAATCGGAATAGATCGATATCATCTCCTCTCATCTCATCTTAATTATCTCTCCCATGTGTCCCTAGACATATAGTCCATGCACTAATCGATCGATATATCTATATAGTTTTCGAGAGATATTTTGCTGGTTGCAATTAGTCTCGAGCTTACAGCGACCTTCCAGGTCAGAGGTAGCCGGATTAAATCCTTGGTTTATTTATAGTGCTTGATCGATCATGTCGTCTTCCTCCAATAGCGACTCCGGCAAGAAGGGCGGCAACCCTCTGGAAGCCATGGGCGCCTTCTTCTCGTCGCAGGTGAACCGCCGGAAGCTGGTCACCAGCGAGAAGCAGGCGCTGGCCACGCGGCTGTCCGCCGGCGGCGAGGCGTTCCCCGGCAGCGAGCACCGGCCGGCCGACCGGAAGACGTGGATGGCGGAGCTCGGGCCGGAGCGGCTGCGCGTGCACCAGCTGGTGTGGCCGGGGACGCACGACTCGGCGACGAACAAGATCGGCATCCCGTTCGTGACGCGCCCCTTCGCGCAGTGCCAGTCGCTGTCGGTGTACGAGCAGCTCGCCGCGGGCGCCCGCGTCATCGACGTGCGCGTCCAGGAGGAGCGGCGCGTCTGCCACGGCGTGCTCGCAACCTACTCCGTCGACGTCGTGCTCGACGACGTGAGGAGGTTCCTCGGCGAGACGGCGTCGGAGGTGGTGATCCTCGAGGTGCGCACCGAGTTCGGCCACGACGACCCGCCGGAGTTCGGCAGGTACCTGGTGGAGCAGCTCGGCGAGCACCTGATCCCGCAGGACGAGGCGGTGTTCCACAAGACCATCGCCGAGCTCCTCCCGCGGCGGCTCATCTGCGTGTGGAAGCCGCGCAAGTCGCCGGCGCCCAAGCCCGGCGAGCCGCTGTGGAGCGCCGGCTACCTCAGGGACAACTGGATCGACACCGACCTGCCGGAGACCAAGTTCGAGAGCAACGTCAAGTTCCTCGGCGAGCAGCCGCCGGTGGCCGACCGGAGGTTCTTCTACCGGGTGGAGAACACGGTGACGCCGCAGGCCGACAACCCGGTGCTCTGCGTCCGGCCGGTCACGCGGCGGATCCACGGCTACGCCCGCCTCTTCATCGCCGAGGTCTTCGCCAAGGGCCTCGGCGACAAGCTGCAGGTGTTCTCCACCGACTTCATCGACGGCGACTTCGTCGACGCCTGCGCCGGCGTCACCAAGGCCCGCGTCGACGGCGCCGCGTGAGATTGCATGGCCGGGCCCTGTAGTAATTAGAGGGGTCGCCGCGTTTAGAGGATTTGCTTCGTTTCGCCGGTGTCGCAGCGTACGTACAGATTAGTTTGTGTTGTTCGTGTTAGACACGTGATTTATGAATGATTTATTATCATGCATGTGTTGGGCGTTCGTGTGTGATTTAATTGTTGAAATGTATATAGTGGTGAAATTGCTCGTGTACAAAGGAATAATCGCAAAGTGCTCGTTTTGTTGTGATCGTTCGTAACGAGGGTAATGGAGAGGATCAAATTGGTATTTGATTGTGTTCCCTCTATTTCTTTTTGTGCGTTAGATGAATGAATTAATTCGTTAATGTTACTTCGAGTTGGAGACGGTTTTGAATTATTTATGTTTACCAGTAACTTATATGAACCTGCGTTATAATAGAGCTTCATGTGAACCATGAAAATGGATAGTTTTCCTTTTTACCGCTAAGATCATGTGACTTAACAGAAAATCTTAATAACTCATTGTACCGCGTTTCGAAAAAAGAATATCAATCAGCAATGAATTGATAAAACGGGAGGGTTTTATCTCGCTTATTGGACTATAAGCCCCAATTGTCCTAATCAACAAATCAATTGAAACTGTTTTTAAAGTAGAAATCAAAGAGTACACATGCTCTCTTTATCCATGGTGACCGCGACATGTCAACTAACACGACTGAATCCAAAATAAAATAAAAAAAATACAGGTCAGCACTATCTGAATTTGCTGGGATTCCAGAAGGTCCAGTTACATAGCCTACAATAGCCCACTTATTTCTGAAGGCTTCAGTTCTGTTTACTTGGGCCGACACTATGTACAGGCCTTGCTTGTGTCTATTCACATGGGCCTCAGACTAACTAATCATGCAATAAGTTCATCTAAGATCCCTTAACTTGTCAACAAATCTGATTTTCGTCCCTCAACCAGAAAACCATACACAACGGGTCCCTCAACTATTAAAACCGGTGCAGATGAGGTCCCTCAGCGGTTTTGGATGACGTGGAGCCTACGTGGTTAATTTAACTCGGTCTTCATCTGACGTGGCGCTGATGTGGCGCTTACGTTGCAATTCAATCCGGAAAAATAATAAAACTCGTGGGACCCACATGTCAGTTTCACACATAAATTAATAAAAATGGTGGGGCCCACGTGGGCCCCACATGTCATTCTCACCCCTCTTCTTCTTCCTCCTCCTATCCCTCCATCTCCCTCTCTTCATCTCTCTCCCCTATCCTCTCTCCAGGTGCGATGGAGAGGCAGTGGTGCACGGCGGCCGGCGGGAGAGGAGGGAGCGGCGCGGCGGCGGAGGCAAGGCTCCGGCAGCTATGGGCGTAAGAGGAAGGGGCGGTGGGAGTTGGCCCTAGCTGCGGCAGACGGCAGGACAGGAGCTGCACAACCGAGGCCCCGCCGGCGCCGACTCCTTCTTGATGTCGCCGGCGCCGCCAAGGCTGAGGAGGTGGACGCGGTGGTGGTGGAGGAGGAGGAGGACCGCGGCGCGGCGCGGTTCCATGAGCGGAGGCTGGTGGTGGTGTTTGTGCTGCCATCCCAGCCGATGTGCGCCACGTGCTGGCGGTGGTGGTCCGCCGCGCCGCCACCCTCGCCGCCGCCGCCTAGACACGCACACAGCATCACTAATACCAAACTCCTAAATCACCCCACAAAAAACAATCGACAAGATCGAGCAGAAGTGAAGAATAAGCATCCAAGACTCCAAACAACGAACCTTGGGGCTTCTTGCCGCTCTTGCCGCCTCCATCGACGACGTCCACGCTGGATCCATTGCGGCAGGTGGAGGAGAAGAGGATCACGATGAACCGGTCCATCCGCCGCTGCTCCTTGCCACTATTGCTCATGGCTAGCTAGCCACTGCTAGCTAAGCTGATACTATCTTGGAATCAAATCGCTTGCCGCTTTGGCTGAACCTGTACTGGTATGGGGGTCTTGACCCTTGCTCAAAAAAAAAATCTTGGAATCAAATCAATGTCTGCTCCTCGCCGGCGTGCGCTGCGATAGCGGCCAGATGCTGAGGGACGGGAGCAGCACCTCCGCGGCCTTGGCGACTGGTGCCGCGGGAGCGGCGGCGGAGCCTCTCTCCGCGGCCGATGCATGCTGGCTCCCCTCGGCAGCGGCGGCGGCTCTGGGGGCGTCCTCCGCCATGGCTGCGGGTAAGTGGGAGAGGGAGGGATCTATGGCGTGGAGAGAGGAGAGACCGAGAGAGAGAAAAGAAGCTCCGCCGCCCCTTCCTCTTCCGCCCACAGCCGCCGGAGCCATGCCTCCGCTGCCGCGCCGCTCCCTCCTCTCCCGCCGGCCGCCATGCCCCACTGCCTCTCCGTTGCGCCTGGAGAGAGGATATGGGAGAGAGATGGAGGGAAATGGGGAGAGAGAGAGGAGGAAGAAGAGGGATGAGAATGACAAGTGGGCCCACTTTTTTTTTATTATTTTGTGTGTGGAATTGACATGTGGGTCCCATGGGTTTTATTATTTTTTCCGGATCAAATTGCTCGACGTAGGTGCCACGTCAGCCAAAACCGCCTCCAAAACCGCCGAGTGACGTTATCTGCACCGGTTTTGATAGCTGAGAGACCCGTTGTGTCTGGTTTTTTGGTTGAGGGACGAAAATCGGATTCGTTGATAAGTTAAGGGACCTCAGATGAACTTATTCCACTAATCATCGACTGCATGGACATGGGCTTGGAAGAAAAGTTGGGCTTACAGAACATAGGCCCGGTTGGTTTCTTCTCACGTGCAGTGCTGAGTGCTCTAGCCAGCTCGGAAGGTTTGGCGTACTGCTGGATTGCATGGTGCGAAACGATATGAATTTTTGTTGGCCTTGGCAACCCAAATTCAGCGGGCGCGTTGCTGTAGAGTGTAGAGTTGTATTGCACGGTTCAAATCCATCGAACGTCTGTATTCCGGAGATAATGCCTATCGACAGCTTTGTGCAGATGGAGACCAGTTGGCAACAGAAAGACAAATTTGCACTGGAGTAGTAACCAGTACACACCGAACTGCATGCACGCCAAATTGTCCAGGCTTCTTCGTTCACACGATTCTTCGTTCACGAACGCAATAATAACCATGGAGTACAAGCTCGGATGTGTTGGTAATGCTACGTGTTTCAAATCAAAGGCCTGCTGTAGTTTTCAATTTTTTTTTTCTAAAAACATCACATCAAATCTTTAAACACATGCATCGAGCATTAAATATAGATAAAAACATAAACTAATTATACAGTTTGCATAAAAATCACGAGATGAATCTTTTAAGCCTAATTAGTTCATGATTAGCCATAAATGCTACAGTAATCCACATTTGCTAATTACGGTTTAATTAGGCTCAAAAGATTCGTCTCGCGGTTTTCAGATGAATTGTAAAATTAAATTTTTTATTCGTATCCGAAAACCCCATCCAAAAATTTTCTTTTCGCGGGTAGTGTTCGATCGCCCCATGCGATTTCCCTGAGATTTCCAGAGTCACCACATTTAGGAACCGAGATACACTGACAGTGATGCGATCGAAAAAAAAAATTCAACGCAGAATTGCAATGCACAGCGCTGGGCTGGCTGCTACCTCTCCCCAACCTACCTAGAGATGCACGCACCGTATTACTCCCCCCAGCCCAGCACGCAGATTGGTTACCTCCTCGACGCCTCGCGTCGGCTGACGCCTGACAGCTAGCCACCATCCAGCCAGCCAACGCGACTTCGCGGGCGATTGCGCATTCGCGGCGCGGCCTCGCGCACGGAAGAAACAGCCCAAACAAACAGCTAGTATCTCGCCCATCTCCCCGCGTCCGCGTGCACGCTGCGGCGTACGTCGCGTGCGCACACGGGAATTTCCCTTCCGCTACACAGGCGCGACGACGAATTGAAGCATCCGCGCGGTCCACTTCCCCGTTTGTTGCTTCCCCCACCTGGCCATGCACGCGTGCCGCGTACGGTGCGCGCGCGCGCTACAGCCTCGTTAAAACCCGCGTCGTTCTCACACACACTTCCACCATCTCCATCAGTGTGCACCACCACGAGAGCGGTGGCTATGCAGCCATGCGGGCGCCGTCTCCTCGGCGCCGGCACCGCCTCGCCGCCGCCGCTGCCGGGCTTGGGTTCGGCTTCGGCCCACTCGATGGACCGCGCGCAGCGGGCGCACATGGTGCGGGCGCTGGGGGTGACCACCACGGTGCTCTTCGTCGCCAGCGTCTCCTACATCGCGCTCACCGCGCTCTACGCCTGCTTCTGCGACGGCGGCGGGCGGCGACGGCGAGAAGACGGCGGGTCGTCGTCGGTGCGCCCCGAGCCGTCCGAGGAGACCAAGCGCGCGCTCGACGGGATCCCGGTGCACGTGGTCCAGATGCCGCCCCGCGACGGCGGCGGCGGCGGCGCCGACGAGGAGGGCGGCAGCGGCGACTGCGCGGTGTGCCTGGCGGAGTACGCCGCCGGGGACGAGGTGCGCGTGCTGCCGGCGTGCGGGCATGGGTTCCACAGGGAGTGCGTCGACCGGTGGCTGCTCACGCGCGCGCCCACCTGCCCCGTCTGCCGCGCACCCGTCGTCGCGCGCGTCGAGGGCCCGGACGACGACGCCAAGGAGGATTACTGCGGCGACGGCGAGAGCGTCGAGAGGCACGGCGGCGGCGGCGGCGACATTGGCTTCCTGTCCGTCGCCGGCGAGTCCCGCGTGCTTCCTGCGATTTGATTTTGCTACGAGTACTCATCAGCTGTAATAGGGTACTTAGTAGGTGTTTAGCTCAATTTTGCTAGCTGTGGACAAACGTAGCTTAGTAGGATGATTCGAGTTTGTTTATTGGCGAGAGCAATAACGATCATACGAGTAGTTTCACTTTCAGGGTTACAAGTTCATGTGCGATCAATCTGGTTATTTAGTTATTATACCTTCTTAAAATTTCTGACCTGAATTTGTAGGAAGTACTGTAGTATGCTTGTTTTGCTTCATACTCCTAGCTAGTAACCACTGATTGTTATGGTTTTCAGCAATCTGCAATCATCGTCAGAGTCTCAGACATTCAGACATCAGTCACCTGCACAAGAAATCTTTCGTACATACACCGTCGTCAGCCTACAACAAAGTAGAAAAATTTGCAGAGAGAAATCAGTGGCAGAGAATGTTAACAATGTTTAGGTCTGTGATTTGCAGACAAACAACGTGCGGTCGAGAACCAAGCGGATGGAGTCCAGCACATCATCGGTCGACATTCCTCACAACTGAATTAGCTTAGCTAGCTACTGTAGGACACCGTTCGTTACTTCAGCATCAAATTCAGCAACAGTGCAACACCTTGTAGAATTCAGAAAATATGACCTGTCTGTTGTTTTTTTTTTTAAAAGGAACATCTGTTGGTTTGATAAAACTTGAGGATTTTCATTTCATTAACAGGGATATACATAGTACATTTGCAAGAACACAAAACATTATTATAATCCCTACTTACACTCTGGCAACAACAACAATGTCACACAAATTGTCTTTCTACGAACATGACATGCTTTCTTGCTACAAATTTGACAAATCACTGACAAGGAAAGAAACACCATAAAAATCTTCAAGAAAGGGGGTAAAATTTAGAAGCCAAATCCAAGTGCAATCAGTAGAGAAACCAAGCCGGAGGTGACGACGACGGCGGCGTGCGCTCCTCTTGGCCGCTCGCCGGAGCTGTCCTCCAATGGCTGCCCCGCGCCGTTCAGCACCTGGTGCTGTCCAAACGCGCCCTGCTGCTGCCCCTGCCCCCCGATCGGGAGCCCCCCCGCCGCCGCGCCATGGCCAGCGCTCGGCGCCAGCGCGTCCGGCACCGCGGCGGCCTCCGGCGGCGGCGACGCTCCCAGTGGCAGGTGGTGCGGCGAACCGTGCTGCTGCGGCATGCCGCCGCCGGCGGGCGCAGCAGGCGGGAGTGCTATGCCACCTGGTGCGCCGGAAGGTGTCTTGCCGTGCGGCAATGGCGGGGAGAGAGCAGGCACGTCGACGGGTGGCAATGGCGTGTGAGGAACAAATGCCGTCGGAGCCGGCGGTGGCGACGAGTACAGCGGCTGGTCAGGAGAGACAGGGTACGTGTCGGCCGGCGGTGGTGGTGGCAGCGGCAAGTCCGGCGTGGCGGGTGTCGCGTCAGCTGGCGGCGGCGGCAGCAATGGCTGGTCAGGCATAGTGTCAACCGGTGGCTGGTCGGGCGAGGCGGGCAGCGACGTGTCAACCGGTGGCGCGAGCTGGTCTCCGAAAGACAGGTCCGAGCTCCCGGCGCCGGCGAGGGTCGACGCCGGCGGCGTCAGAAGCTTCGCTGTGGTTGTGGTCGACGGCGGCGGGAGCACGTCCATCGTCGGCGACGGCGAGACCGGCGCGGCCGCGCCGCACTGCTGCCCCGTCCACGGCTCGCCGCTCGCCTGCCACACCGACACGCCGTCCTTGCTCACGATCCTCATGTCGCCGCCGTCGTCAAGGCTCAGCGTTCCCGGCTCGGCGTCGATCCCGGTGTCCCAGAGAGAGTGCCCGCCGGCGAAGAGCTCGAGCCCCACCGGCGAGAACGCCAGGTCGCACGCGTCGGCGCCGCCGACAAGGGTGCACTCCGACTCCCACACGCTGCCACCACCGCCGGCGCCGCCGCCAGCCTGCTGGATTTGGACGTAGCACGCGTCGGCGCCCGGGCCACCGGCGGAGCTGTCCACGGCGCGGCGGAGGTACGCGGCGTACGACCCAGACGGCGAGGTGAGGAAAGGCTGCGCGCTCTGGCCGACGTCCACGGCGGGCGCGACGGTGGCGATCACCTGCTGCTCGGTGGTTCTTGATATGTAGCTTTTGGGAGAGGCGGCCATGGCGGCGGCGAGCCGCATCACGAGCAGGAGGACAGCAAGTGAAGAAGACATGGTGAAAATGGTGGTGAGGTGTGAGGAGCTTGGCAATGGAGGGGGTAGGGTTTTAATGGAGGCAAGAGGAGGATTTGGTGCAGCTTTTTTGTGGAGCAACTCTCAGGTGTAGTGGTAGTAGGAGAAAGGTGTGCATTGCATGGAGATGGATGGAGTAGAGGGAATCTGAAGTTTTAATCCAAGATTAATTAGCCCAAGTTTCAGTTAGAGATTGTAGTGTAGTTGGGGTCATTTGGTCATGTTCATTTGTTCAACAGATCCAACAGGTTGCATTAGGTGGAATGCAGCCAAACTTTTTCAGTCTGTACTCTGTCTAACACTCTAATTCAGGATAACTTTGTTAATAGGTATTGATACCTTCCCAAAAAATAAATGGAAAACTACTGGTTATATCAGTTCAAAAGGGACGTACTACTACTACTCAAGTTATGTATTGTGATTTTCTTCGCATTTCAGAAGAGTAGAATGTCCATGAACAGTTAAATGAGAAAAAAAAGACAGCGTGCACTAAATCACATATCATCGAAATGTGAATACACTATAACTAAACACATGCGTAAGCTATTTGAAACCATACACATCTCAAGAGAAGATAATCTGAAATGCAATCTCCCATACTCCCACGCAAACGGATATCCAAAACGAGTATGAAAACATTCACAGCTAGTTGATTTGAACATTAGTTCAGTTACATGGAATTGGCGTTCCACAAAATGGTAAAAAGCATACAGTTAGAGTGTGAATTCTTTCCAAACACTAATGATCTTTGGCACAACCGTACAATTACTGTAATAACTGTTGCAGAAATCCAAAGTAGAAACATGCGCAGGTTCAAGGCTCTCAATTTCTGCTGTATATTATTATGATTTTTAATCTCCATGGATCGTGTAACGCTCCCACTTCTTGGTAGGATCATAGATCTGCAAGACAGGCTAGTTGTTACTCCAAAGAATATCTATGCCTTGTACAAGAATGAAAGGATAAAAAGGTGAATGTCCAACCTCCCATCTTGATGCAGGAAATATATGTTTGTTTTTCTCATACCAGTGTCTCTCTACGACTTTTCCCGCATGAGACTACAGTCATAAAGCATGAGGTAGAAACTTAGAATGCAACATTGGGAACTACAAATACAAGATATCGGTAGACATGTTACCTCGTCCTTTTCTTTTGTTGCATCAGCAATGGTCCGCACATCCTCATGAACATCAAAGTGGAAAAGCTGAGAAAGAAAGGACAGAAAAACAAGTGTCAGCAAATGATTAACTCAGGTCATCAATATTCGTCTGGACAAACAGAAAAATATCCTGTCCGCAGAAGAACCGAAGTTCTATGTTGTGACATCCATGTCTTAAAATAAAGTGATTATACATATGAATGAATTATATATAAGCTATCAACATATTTTATCAAAACAAATACCACAGGAGTACTAACAAATCATGCATTACCGGTCCACTCTTGCCCCTTGCTTTGTTGATAATCAACTCATAGAAGCTATGTTGCTGTTACCAAAACAACAAACATGGGATTAAAATAAGAGTAAAAAAATACATAAACAACAATGCAATTGACAAGGTAACAAACATAAGCTTTGCATACATGAGGGATAATAAGATCTTCCTTCACATAAAGAAGATTCTCAACTGATGTTGTCCGCACTTCACGGAACTCAGGGGCAAGCTGCTGCTGAACAGCCCTTAGGAATTCTCCAATGGAGTCACCTTTACGGACCTGCCAGGTATATAGGTGTTGTTTCAATCATATGGTCCACATGTTCAGAACAATCAAAAGAGGAACACCTTTTTCAATGGTTAGAAATTACCTGGATAACTCTCCTATGCCCAGTGCCATCCCAGTAACTGTAAGTAATTGTCAGAGGTTCATCTGACACACGAGGCATTTTGCTAATCAGTTAGGATGCAAAAATTACTCACAAGGGAAAAATAGAGTGAAATGATTAAACACTAATGGTAATTAATGCTATAAGCTTGTGGCAATACTTTTAATCAGTTCCTGCTCACGCGACCATTGTTTCTTCAAACGCTCTCGCTCTGCTTGTTCCTCTGCTTCTCTCTCCCTGATGGATCATTCTTAGCAACCAGCTTGCAGGTTAAACAACACATGGAAACAAATAATCGATCATCACAGAAAGATAATCATAAACTAAAAGAATACCTGTCAGGAAGAAAACTTGTCTCAACAGTAGGGTCCTTCCCAAGTTTGACAGGACCATGTTTCTTTTGAGGTTCTTCTGTAAAACAATTTAAAGCATAATGTCCATACTTGCTTTACAGGTAAGGTAACTTCACAAACTTAAACAAATCAAGATTCAGGACACACACACAAAAAAAGGACAGTACAAACACAAACCCCATGGCACTAAACTGCCAATTCATAACGTAAACAATAGAGAGAGAATGTTCATTCTGAATGAAACCCTGCCCAGGACCCAATCTTTGCTTAGATGCTTTGACTAAATTAGTTTGTCGAGTTGATTCATTTAAGGGACGTCACATGAGATGTTCAAACATTAACAAAAAAGTTAGAACATGGTAATACAAAATAGGATATCACAAGACCCTAGAAAGGTTAAGAGGACCATACGATTCTCAAATTCATCCTCATCACTTCCATTCTCAATCTCATCACAGAAAGATAACCGTGGATCTCCCCTCACTCTCCTCTTTTTCCGCTTTTGCATTTGCAATTCTTCTTCCCTGAAAACAAAAAATAAATAAACTATTTTGATATACACATATAAGGTAATGGCACAAATTATGATAGACTAGGACTCCAATCTCACTCTTGTTGCAACTTTTGAAGCTTCTCCTTCTCTTCTTCCTCAATTTTGGTCCGTATATTAACCCTCTGTTCAGCCACATGGATGAAACATTAGATGGTGAAAATTCACTTTTTGACAGAATGGTAAGAAATATATCTGGATATTACCTTCTCGACATACTGCTCCCTTGTAACTAAACCGACTGTTTCCTTCTTAAACGCAGTCTCAAGAATCTGAAAGTCATAGTCCATACTGTTAGGTGTTAGCTTCTAAAACACAGATAAAAAATATATAAATTTCTGTTGTGCCTTTAGAAAATGAGATAATTCAGAACCATGCCAATTGTGAAGCATATATGGGGGGAAATGTTTTTTCTTTTAAGTTTAAAAGACAAAATATAACAGAAGTGGTTCAATACAAAAGCTATTCTGCAGCAAATCACATAGCTGTAGCAATCCAACATAGAACTACAGAAGTATAGATAACATCCACATCCTAATCAAATTAAACAAGAGAGATAAGACAAGTATCGACCAAGAGTATTACAAATGACAATTTCACATCACACCACCAGAGAACAAGCGCTTAAAAACCTAGGATGACAAGTACAACAAAATATGTGAAGGCATGGTAAGAAAAATGTAAGGACAACCAGTTCTAGTGAGAGACAAACTAGTTTCGCGAGTGCACGCGCACACAAATACGGAGATCAGTAGTAGGTCACTGAGCCTCACGGGCAAGCGAATTTTCCTACCTACGCGTGTGCCCTAGAAGGTAGAAGCCTAGTCCGATTCATATGATGGCGGATGGCCATACCTCGGAGGTGCTGGAGCCGAACTGGAGCAGGCCGGGCTGGCCATCGGAGGACTTGTTCTTGAGCTCCTCGATCTTGCGGCGCTCCGCCTCCCGCTGCTTCTCCAGCCGCCGGATCTTCACGGCGTCCTGAGCCGTGCCGACGTACCCGTCCCCGAACCCCGACATCTCGTCACCCCCGCCGCTCTTCCTCGGTCAGACGAGGGATTCCAGAGATTCCAGAGAAACTCGCAGCCGACGCGCGGCCGCCGCGGAAGGTGGAGACGGCAACCGGCGGTGGGATTGCTCGCCGCCGCCGAGAGCGGAAGGAATAGGGATTTGGGGAGGGGGAAACTGCTCGCTGCCCTCGCGCTTACTTGGGCTGGGCCTTACCGACTTACAATTTGAGGGAGTATTAGCTTAGTTGGGAAGTTGGGCCACGTTTCATAGAGGCCCACTAGACAAGTGCGGCCCGATGGATAGTCTGCCCTCGAGCTGCCGTTTTCCTATTAATTATTTTTTTTTAAAAAAAAGGAAAATGATACATAGAAAGTTCTTACAGACTTTTCATAAACATGATATGTCATTGATGTTGCATGTTACTACATCCGTCCCAAAATATAGTAACTTTTGGTTATAAATCTGGACACACAATTGTCTAGATTCATAGGTAAAAATGCTTACATTTTGGAGTATTTATATCTTGATACTCTATTTTATAACTACTGACTAAATGAAACGAACTTTTTTTTGGCTGAATCAATTCTTAGTAAGATTTTGAGAAAACAAAGTTTTAGTACAACTCAGCAAGTCAGAAACAATGTTACTGAAAGTCTTAGACACTTGAGATTTTTGTTGCAAGAGTTTTGTAAAAAAAAAGAAGAAGAAGAAGGTACAGTACGTAGTAATGCTGGAAGAAAAACACTTTTTTTTATAATGGAAGAAAGACGAAGAAATTAAACAAACAAGGTTTTTATATGACCAAACCAAACAAGTTTTAAATTGCTATAAATTGTTGAAAACCAAACAAATCATGATGTTACACAAGCATGATTCGACCGAGAATAAATGAAACCCAACATAAGTTTGGGACTTTAACACAAACAACTCCAGAAACATAGTTCGACGACCCATGCAAGAATTGCATGCACAACAACATCAATGGAGCAAAGCTCCCTAAGGCTCACAGAGCCACACGCCGAGTCAGGAAACGACATGGCTAAATTATTCGTTGAAACGGAAATGATGCAGACGAAATCTTCGGCACCAAATGGATTGACGACGAACAATCCAGCTTCTTGATGATTAAGCTTGCTTCTTCTTCATCCCACCTCCACGCTTCTTGCTACCGCCACCTGAGCTCCCCGGAGCATCTGCAACACGCACGATCGAGACGGCAAAAACTGCGTTAGGATTGCACATTTGTACACGGTGATCACGAGCAAAACCAAGCACGATCGATTAATTACCTGCCGGCGGCGGTGGCTGCTGGGCGCGAGAGGCGGCGGCGGTCTTACTCTTGTCCATCCTGTTCTTGCGACGCTCCCTGGCCTCCAGCTCCACCCTGTCGCGGCCACCACCTGCCACCGCAAACATGGGTCCACCAGTTCTCCTGCTGCTGCCGATCATCTCCCATGGCATATCGTCGACCGTAGCCTCGATCGCGCGGCGCTGCACGAGGTACTCCTCGAACGCCCCCGCCGGCGCGGCGGGCACCAGTCGCGCCCGCGCTGGCCCAGTCGGTGGACGAACCAGCACCGGCCAGGAAGGCAGCCCGGACGGCAGCGCCGGAGGCGCGGCTGGGGCGGCGGCAGCAGCAGCAGGAGGAGTAGGCGCGCGCGGCGTAGCAGCAGCAGGTGGAGAAGTGGGCGCTCGCCGCGCACGAAGATGAGGAGCAGGCAAGCGCAGTGAAAGAGGAGCGGTGGGCGCGCACGGCATAGCATACGACAAGCTCACGCCACCATAGCTGAAGCTGTAGCGGCCGATGGTCGTTGGCATGGTCCACCCACGAGGTGCAGCAGGAGGAGGAGTAGCCACGGGCGGCGCACGAAGATGAGGAGCAGGTGCGTGGAGTGCAAGAGGAGCAGTGGACGCGCGCGGCGCAGCGGACGACGAGCTCGCGCCGCTGTCGCTGAAGCTGTAGCGGGCGGTGGTCGGTGACACGGTCCACCCGCGCGGTGCAGCAACAGGAGGAGCTGGTGCGGATGACGCACGAGGATGGGGAACAGATACACGCAGTGCACGAAGATGAGGCGCAAGCGCGCGCAGTGCAAGAGGAGCACTGGGCATGCGCGGCACAGTAGATGGCGAGCTTGCGCTGTCGGGCGGCGTAGCAACAGGAGGAGCAATCATGGGCGGCGCAGTAGCAGGAGGAGCAGTCACGGGCGGCGTATGAACTGAAGGGGCAGGCGAGGGCAGCGTAGAAACTGGAGGAGCAGGCGCGGGTGGCGTAGGAACAGGAGGAGCAGGCATGTGCCGCACACGAAGATGAGGTGCTGGTGAGCGCAGTGCAAGAGAAGTAGTGGGCACATGTGGCGTACTAGATGACGAGCTCACTCCATCATAGTCGAAACTGTACCGGGCGGTGGTCAGTGACACAATAAACCCAGGCGGCACATCAGCAGGAGGAGCAGGCGCATGTGGCGTAGGAACAGGAGGGGCGGGCACGAGCGGTGTAGGAACAGTAGGAGCGGACGCGCGTGACACATGAAGATGAGGTGCAAGCGCGCGCAGTGCAAGAGAAGTAGTGTGCATGCGTGGCGTAGCAGACAACAAGCTTGCTCCATCGTAGCCGAAGCTGGGGCGGGTGGTGGTCGGTGAGACAGTAAACCTGGGTGGCACATCAGCAGGAGGACCAGGTGCGGGCGGCGTAGGAACAAGACGGGTAGGCGTGGGCGGCATAGGAACAGGAGTTGCAGGCGCGGGTGGTGTAGGAGCAGGAGGAGCAAGCGTGCGCGGCGCACGAAGATGAGGTGCAGGCGCGCGTAGTGCAAGAGAAATAGTGCGCATGCGTGGCGTAGCAAACGACGAGCTCGCTCCATCATAGCCGAGGCTGTGGCAGGTGGTGGTCGGTGACACAGTAAACCCGGGCGGCACATCAGCAGGAGGAGCAGGAGTGGCAGGCGTGGGCGGCGTAGGAACATGAAAGGTAGGCGCGGGTGGCGTAGGAGCAGGAGGAGCAAGCGTGCACGATGGCGCACGAAGATGAGGTGCAGGCGCGCGTAGTGAAAGAGAAGTAGAGCGCACGCGTGGCATAGTAGACGACGAGCTCGCTCCATCATAGCCGAAGTTGTGGCAGATGGTGGTCGATGACACAGTAAACCTGGGTGGCACATCGGCAGGAGGAGTAGGCGCGGGCGGTGTAGGAACAGGAGGAGCAGGCGCGGGCGGCATAGGAACATGAGTTGCAAGCGCGGGTGGCGTAGGAACAGGGGGAGCAAGCCCGCACGGCGCACGAAGATGAGGTGGCGCGCGCAGTGCAAGAGAAGCAGTGGGCGCACGCGGCATAGCAGACGACGAGCTCGCTCCACCGTAGCTGAAGCTATAGCGGGCAGTGGTCGGTGACACTGTCAACCCGACCAGCGCAACAGTAGAAGGAGTAGGCACGGGCAGTGCAGGAACATAAGGAGTAGTCTCGGGCGGTGCAGAATGAGCAATGGGTGTGAGCGGCGCAGCAGTCGACGAGCTCGCACCACCATCGCCGAAGCGGTCGTTGTCGGTGGTCGGTGATACGGTCCACCCACCGTGTGGCACAACAAGATGAGGAGCAGGCGCGGGCGGTGCAGGAACAAGAGGAGCAGGTACAGACGGCACGACAAGAAGAAGAAGAGGAGTAGGCCCCCGCGTGATAGTAGGAGCAGCGGGCGCAGTAGAGGATGAGCTCGCACCGCCGTAACCATAGCCAAAGCGGTAGCGGCCGGTGGCCGACGACACGGTCCACCTGCACGGGGGCACAGGCCACACGAATGTGGTGGCGATGGGCGTCATCGACGGCGCCGCGGGGCGGCGCGCGGTGGAGACGAGGAGCGGCGGTGGCGGTGCAGGCACTTGTGATTCTTCGGAAGTGAAGCTGGTGTCAATGATGTGGTAGCTCTCGCCGTCAGGGAGGAGTGACGGGACGATGCGGCTCCAGGGATTGCGGCTGGGCAGGCGCCTCTAGGCCGGGATGGCGTGTTGGGTCGGAGGCTGCTGGGCTGCCGCCCCGCCACCACCGCCGAGAAGCCGGTCCTGGCTGGCAAGGCGAATGGGCCGGATCGCCATGGCAGCGGCGATGGCGTAGGGGATGATGAGGTGGCGAGGTGGAAGGCCTTGACGGGCCGGGCTCTCGTTGGCATCTCCTTGCTGGGCCGGGTTCTCGTTGGCGTCTCCCATGGTAGGCAGGTCAGGTCGGCGGATTTCACCACCTTCCTCCGTTCGAATCTTGCAGACAAAACCTGTGTGGGGAAAAAAATTGAAAAAATGGCATTGGCGATGGCACCACACAAAACATACATGAACCTGCAAAAACCTGTAATAAATCGCTAGAATTTCACAGAGATCTGATAATCACAAGCTTACAAGAACGTCTAAACCTCCTGTAAACCACCAAGTCCCATGTAGATCTGATTAGAAAAAGCTTACAACAAAGTCTAGATCTTTAGATGGTGGATTTCAGGATTTCAAAAGCAAGAAACAAGTTTTTTTCTCTCTCTACTCTACGGTATTCAAAGCTATGTACTTCTAAGAACAGAAACTAGATTAGAATTTGTGACAAGCGAGAGGGAACTTACCTCTCTCCAATCTACGGTATTCAAAGCTATGTACTTTTAAGAACAGAAAACATATTAGAATTTGTGACAAGCGAGAAGGAACTTACCTCTCTACAAATCTACGGTATGCAAAGCTATGTACTTCTAAGAACAGAAACCAGATTAGAATTTGTGAGAAAAACAAGAGGGAACTTACCAGGTTGCAGGAAGCTTATTTCTTCATGTATCTGATTTCCTTCAATCTGTGTGTAGTTTTTACAGAATGGGGGCTTAGTTTTATAGTCAAATTTCAGTGCTTCACCCTGTCTTTGTGAACGCGTTCTATACACTGTCTCTTGTTTCTTTCTAAACATAACCAATTCTTTATCTGTGTGAAATATGTTGCACCGGTACAAAAAACTACTCCAAGCAAAAGGAAATGTTTTATAGTATATCACAATTGTATCCTCTAAAATAGGTGAGATATATTGAGATATGAACACAGATGTTTCAACTTTAGCCGAATCTCAGTGGTACTGATATATTGAGACATGAACACAGATGTTTTTTGAAACCCAAAAAAAAAGGTATGAACACGGAAAGTGACTGCCAACCAGTACAGCTGCATCCAACCGCCCACTGCTACTACTGATTTGGCCATAATAACATTACTACCAAATATACAAATCTTCCTGGACTTATTTGGTGGAGCATTTATTTCAGAACATATCTGGCATCAGCAACTAATTCATATCTAAGTATGGAGGTTCTCATTTATTTTTACAGATATATGAGGAGGTATATATCTGTAAAAATATACAAATCATTTAGATATGAATTAGTTGGTGATGCCGGATATATTCTGAAATAAATGCTCCACCAATTAAGTCCAGGAAGATTTGTATATTTCAGAAGTCTAGGAATATATATATATATATATATATATATATATAGTAAATTTGTTTGGTGCTCCATGGTGCCCGGGCACTATTGTTGAAATTGAGTATATACCCAATTCAAATGAGTATGAAACTTTTTCAATTACTTAGGTATTAACATTAACTACTTTACTAACTAGTTTAAAGCAAGTTTGAACTGAATTTGAACTTGTTTTTGTTAGATTTTGATTCTAGGTATATAGCATCCATATATATAATTAGTTAGGTATGTAATCATGGATTGTGAAATAAAGTTAAATTTGAGTTGTTTTGTTGATAAGTATAGGTATGAATCAAATTATTATAACTAGGTATATACTCACAATTTGAAAATTTTGAAAAATTTGAGTAATTTTGTGCATTAGATACCATGGTGCCCGGGCACCATGGTGCCCCATATAAGTGTCCTATATATATATATATATATATATATATATATATATATATATATATATATATATATATATATATATATATATATATATATATATATATATACCCTTATATTTCAGAAGTCTTTGATAGAGTAAACTAAATGTGTGAAATTCAGCTATCGACAATGTCAACTCTATCTTAGACTTCTAAAATATAAGGGTATAGATATCTCCTAGTATAAATCAAGAGATATAAACCTACGCCACTCAAAGACTTGAGAAAAACTCAAAAAAATATAAATTAATTTCTAATCATGTACTACCCATGTAGTATTAGTTTTGGCACTTCGAGCTCCCTTCATAGAGGGATCTCTCTCAAGGAATGAGGTGTATATGTCTTTCTAAAAATGGGAGAAAACCTCATAAGTATATCCAAGTATAAGGGTGGCAATTGAGTTTATATGTTTAAATCTCAGCATGAAGATCTACGAGATTCGGCCGAAATGGAAATTTATACAACTAGCTTCCATGCGAGGACATGACCTGACATGTTTGACAGAATAATTATGATTTACTAGAAAGAAATTTCCTTGCTTGGAGTAGTTCTCGCTATCGTTGCAACTTATTTACACGGATAAAATAGTGTTTGTGTTCAAAAAGAAAGAAGAAACAATGCATAGGACTCGTTTACCTAGATACATGGGCTTAGGGTTATCATTGAGAACCGACGGGAGAAGCTTTGCAAAAGCACAGTCCCGGGAGTGGCCTTGGGGCCAAGTATGCCATCCTCTCAATGCGTGGTCATTTCCTTAGTAGCCCAAAGTGCGAGAGTGGATTCTAAGCTCTAGAGGACATCCCCTCATCATTCACATGTCATCTAAATGGTTATATTTTTTTTAAAAAAATAATAAAATAGATTAATATGTGATAGATTAGTTGTAGTTTTTTGCAACTTGTAGAAGTTTAATTTTAACTTGCATGTTTATGAAGTTATCTATCACATATTAATCTATCCAGTTGATTTTTTTTAATTTTTTCATAAACATTTGGATGACATGCAAGCAATGAGAGAATGTCCCCTCGAGAGTTTAGAATAGTTTCTCCCAAAGCGCTCTTTTCACCAAGGTGGCGGCAAAGGTGCAAGAGGGAAAGAATAATGCTAATGTCCACCCTTGACCTCTATGCCTCGATCATTTATTCCTGTGGATACCAAATCACACAAGTAATATAAGAACACATCATGCTGCACATGGTTAAGGATGATACCTTGGCCGCTACCCTAACATCATCGACCTAGATCAAGGATACAAGTGGACAGACCTGAGAACCAACTTATAATATAGATAAGCGGATAACCCAGCGCACTTATAACCTAGATCTAGTGGTCGGTGCGTGCGGAAGACAAGGCCATCATCCATGTACAAGAAGGAAAATACAGCCCCACATAGGATCGTATGGATGTCAAATCAACCATGTAAGAACATATCATGCCACACATGGGGAAGAATGATACCTTGGTTGCCATCCTAACATCATCAACTGAGATCTAGTGGGTGATGCATGGGGAAGACGGGCTCATCATCCATGTGCGAGAAGGAAAAGCTAGCCCCGCCCAAGATCATGTGGATTCCAAATAAGCAAAGTAAGAACACATCATGCCGAGATAAGGAAGAATGATACCTTGGCCGCCAACATAGATCGACTAGCTGATGAGTGGGGAAGATGAGCCGCCATCCTTGCACGGGGAAGGAAAACTGGATCCTGTACGAGGAAGGGGAGCGACATCAGCAACCACCTAAACGTTGTCCGCGCAAAGGCCCCAGTCCCAAATCCTAGATCTAGGCAACCAACAACTAGGGAAGGCACTGTAGAATGTAGCGTTAGGTAGCGACGATGGCAACGATTGGCTTGATGGTGTTGGAAGGACGGCGATTCGCTCTCTTGATGTCATATTGGTGCTAGAAGAACGAATGTGAGCACCAGATCTAGGGGAATGAAAGTTAGGTAGAGTGCGGCGGAGGGGTGGTGGTGGATGGAGGGGAAGAAGTGGCATCTTCTACCCATTTTAGGGTTTAGCAATGGATTTATATAGGCAGGGATGGTACATTAGCTTTGGCCCAATTAGGCCCAATAGACGGGGATGGTAAAATGGTTGGTTGTTGGCTTTCATTTGTTAAACGTCCCCGTCCCCAGTGGCAAATAAAAATTGTCAAACCCAAACCCAATAGTGACATTTGGATGGACAGTGGAAAGAGGAAGGGATATTATGGCATATAAAGTGGTGGTTTAAGATAGGATAGGATATACTTTACCATTCCAATGTTCAAATACATATGGTTTGGTATAGAGATAAAATATTTATTGGACGAAAATACCCTTCCTGACTATCTGGTTGTGGCAATCACACGACATTTTTGTCATCGCCACCCATTCCGACCTAAACTCACCTTCCCCAATATTGGTTGGAAATGAACCGTCCATATCCTGTTCTTATATCCACTTCTTTTCCCAATCACCTAAAAAACATGGAAATGATTTCTTTTCAAGAAACATCAATGTATCAAAATTTTCCTCTGGTTCCAATTATCACCTTTTTTTTTTCATTGATTTCCTTTCTCATCGAGACTCACTTTTCTCAATATACTTTAAGGGTCTTTGAAGCACAATATTCAGGAAATGGATGAATAGAAAACAAATTACAAGAATTGGAGGATGGCATAACATATGAAAAATATAGAAACAACCATTTAAATAGACTATAGGAAAGGAATCGGATAAGAAAGGTAGACTCGGGAAAAAAAATGAAGTTAAAGCTTTTGCTAACTTTTCTTCAAAATCTACATGCATTTACTCGTCATTGCTTAGAAATTTCATTGAATTTGGAAATGCCCAATCCTCTGTTTCAATGAGCCGAATAGGAAAAGTTCCTACATGATTTAAATCTTATATAACTCATGTATAAATTCTTTGTTTCAAAAGGGCCTAACTGTATAGAAAAAGGGCAACAAAGCTATATGAACCAACTTTTTTAAAATTCTTATCCACATACTGGTACTTCTATTTTAAACCAGGAGTAATCTCTTTTATCCGAAGGGGACATGTAATACTCCCTACATCCCAAATGATTTTGAAAGGATATGACATATTTTAGTACAACATACTTTATTACAATCAATCTGAATAGGCTCTATGTCCGGATTCATCGTATTAGAATATATCACATCCCTCTAAAGTCCATTATATTATAGGACGGAGGAAGTAACTTTTTAAATGATTGAGAGGCCATTTGATCAAAAACTTTTTAAGTACGTGACTAGGTAAAGAGAGGAAAAAAACGTCATTCAAAAAGCAAGATTACAACGATAGTGCTATATGAGGTAGTAAAAGAATGGCTAGCAATATATAATATAATAATATAACCATTGTACATTTATGGATCATACAACAGCCATGAGGCCCCCACAGGGAATGCAGAGCATAGCGGCACGGGCAAACAGAGTACAGTGGAGCTAAGCCAGGAGAGGACTGAAGAACGCAAAAGATCATAGTGCTGGTCCCTCGCATGTGTCCGAAAGTTTTATCTGCCTTCTCCCCAACATTACAAGATGCGACCATATGATGCCCGCTATTTGCTCCCATCAAGCCCCATAATGGCAGCAAAGATTGGTCATGCCTGGTTGCTGTCCGATGTGGAAACTTCCGCGCTGCACATCGGGCAAACCTGCACATCAAGGATATTTCGTCACCAACTGATAACTACACACCGGTATCGTGTTTATAAAATTTAAACGTTCAATACTAATGTTAAACATTGTAAACAACTCGAAACTAGAGAAAGCTACATGTGAATAATCCATATACTGTACTTCGTAAGACAATAACTAACATGATGCACCTGGGTAGTGGGTAGAGAAATATGAATGAAATCACAGTATATACAGCTATACCTAGCTAATCAATGTGCGCAGGCAGTAAAGCAACCAAAAACGAGAGGCAAGTTCACATGATCAAATCGTTGGCTTAAACTTATCAGAATTTAAATTGCATAACACAAATGACCAAAATATCCGCAGTGCTATTAGTGTTACCCAAACATCTTTTAGCCAAAACTAATAAAAGGGCGTGAATGCTTTGGCAGATTGGATTTATTTTGTAAGACTGCATTATCACCCAAGAGGAATGAACTTTCAAATGCAACAAAACTATTTCCCTAGTTATGCACTGATGCACGTGAGTTTTCCATGTTTGGTGATTTGCTAAACCTTTCAAATATAATGGCCTAATTTTTGTACCAAAAATGAATGTCACTAGTACTTAGTAGGTCTACCAAAGTGATCCTTTATTCTTCCTGAAGGTGAAACAAAGGTACAAGGCAACAACTATACCTATACAGCAAGAATAACAAAAATTCTATCCAGACATAAACCATGAACCTAACATATGGCCTGCTAGTAAATTTAGGGCCCACTATAAAAATAACTAATATCACATTTTCTTAGCCCTTAAACCCACATGACAGACTCATTTCCTATAAAAAAGACTTCCCACTAATGTGGCGAATAAATTTGGAGACAATCTTGGGTTGCCACACTTTGACACAAAACTTAGCAACATATGCAGCCTGGCAGTCAAATAAAGCCCTCTGTCCAAGCACAAGTATGCGCAACAAGATAGCTTCATAGACATTAATCACAGCATGAAAAGAAAGCGGCCTACATGGATGGAGGATGGCAGTAGTTTGTATAGATCTGGAAATGATATTTACCTTATTTATTTGAAGCCATTGGTTTATGCACTCAGGATGGTATGAATGCTTGCAGGGGAGTGCAATCAAAGATTCACCATCCTCAAATTCCACACGACAAATAACACATCTAACAACAATAGATACATTAGGACTTAATATGTGATTAATGTAAGATAGTAAGGTTATGACTTATGAGACAAATTATTCACACATACTGCTCTGTGTTGCCATCTTGGACACCTTCTGCCTTGTAAGTTACTGAAGGTAGAGAAGCAAGTGTAGCAGCAGAGAGGCCTCTGTGTCCTGTACCAACCGCTTCTCCCAATGCAACTAATTCCTGAAGTCATATAGAGAGAACCATTAATATTGCATCTTAAAGCTTCTGATGCAGTGCCAGGTGCCAGAAGGCTAACATATAACAATGAAACTTGCCTCATAAGAATACTCATCTGGGTCAACCTCTTGCCACGCATCCTGGGTTTTGGTAAAAATATATCAACGTGTTAAATGACGTTTTTCCAGTTCATAAAAGCTGATTATCAATGAGTAATGGAGTAAGGAAAAAATGAAAAGACATTTTCCCAAGTTCAAGTATGCAGCTTCCATTGGAGATAATATAGCATGCCAAAATCCATGGAGTAAACAGGACAGCATGCAAATTTGACAAGCCACAGCATGAACCACATACCACCTCTGGTCTTACTATTGCTCAACTAATGGACAGTACAAGCTCTACTAAAGTATAAACGATTAAAAATCCACCTGATGTAAACAACCAACACTTCTTATAGAAGTCATGATCTGTAAATGTGATAAAAAGTACATAAAAACCTTGGATGCTCATGAGTTTATCACTCAAATATGAAACTGAAGGTGAGCAAGAAAAAGAATTCCAGGTTCAACTGAAAATAAGATGGATTTTGGATGCTGGAAGGTACCCAAAAAATGAATTTGGGGGCAGTCTTATCGTTTATCAACAGTGCGTGGAAACAAGGAAAGTTGCAAGGCACATTCATCACTTCAAGTGTAAATTCCATATGATTTCGGTTGTCATACATAATGTAGGTGTAAATTTTATTGCAACAACAACGAATTAAGGAGACTATATCATCATTTATGTTATTACTCCAAGATCATTTCATCCAACTCTAGGATTCCCACATATCAGAACAAACACAATTTGTCCAACTAACAAGAAAAATAGACCATTACCTGTGGATCATTCGCATGCTCCTCTACAGGCTCCACAGGTCTCCCTACAAAGCAATATCAAATTGAAATTATCGACAGCAATAACTGAAACATGTGAAATGAACTGAAGAAACAGCACTCCTTTTCTACTCACAATCGCTGATCCCCGCGAGAGCCATAAGTCGCGCGGCTACTTCGCGCTCCTCGGCATCCTGCAGAGCTCGTGCATAAGCCTCATCGTCCTCGTACTCCGCGGGGTCTAGCTCTGGCTCGACTTCCTCCTCATCATACTCCTCGTCGAACCCCTCCTCCTCGAACTCGCTTCCCTCAGCCCCCTCCCCATCTCGCTCTCCCTCGCCACGACCCTCCCCAACGGCGTGCTCGTGGTGGTGGACGCGGAGGTGGTGCTCCAGCTCCTCCTCGTAGTCCTCCTCGGCCTCGTCGTCGTACTCGTAGCTCCCGGCATCCGAGCTCCCGTAATCGCTGCCCTCGCCGACGCCTCCGCCCATGCGAAGCATCATGTACGCCCGCTCCTGCAGCCGATCCAAACAACAACCATGTCAAATTGTCAATCGAGAGGTCCCGGAACCCTAGCAACAACACCCGACCGCGAGATCTCCCCCACATATACCTGCTCCTGGAGCACGCGGGCCAGGGCGAGGTCGGCGTCGACCTGGCTGAGCGCCGTGAACGGCCGCCGCGCCTCCGCGGCCGCGGCCACGTCGTCGTCCCCTCCGGCGTCCGCGGCCGCAGCGGCGACGGCCACGGCGGCAGCTGGCGGGGCCGGATTCGTGGCGGGGCTCGCGTCGGCGCCGGGCTTGTCGCCGGCGGCGCCGCCGCTCCCCTTCGAATCCGCCATCGCCTTGGCGGAGATTAGAGAGAAAGAGGGGGCGAGGATTAACGAACAAAAAAACAACTCGAGTTTAAACCCACTCGCGTTTATGAGGACGGAAGGCGGTGCGGGGGGCGTGTTGGGTTGGAGAATAGTAATTGCTGTGTGTGTGTTTTTCTTTTGTCTGCATAAATCTCTGATTTAACTGCGGGATTTCGATTTAAAAAGCGGTCGGGTTAAGCTAGCGATGCAACTCCTCCGACTCGACCTCGTTCAGACAGACTAGTCTGAAGTCGAGACCGAGTCTGAGAAGCCGATGAAAATAAAGGCTGAATTTGTTTTTCTTTTTTTTTTAGAACACTGTATTTTTTTTCTAGCTTCTCAATAATACCCCCTCCGTTCTGAAGTAGTTTTGACCTTATTAAAGCTATTTTTTAAAATATTAACTAAATTTATAGAAAATTATTGTAATATTTATAGTATCAATTTATTTTATTAAATTGGATATTAATATTTTTATATTTTTTGTAAAAATATTACTTTTTTATAAATTTGATTAGAACTAAAAAGATTAAAACGACTGAAGTGGAGATAGTGATATTAATTTGCTTTTTGGATTTTATAACTACGGATTTTTTATAAACGGGATGAAAGGTATTTTTGGCTGACACGTCGGGGTAAGTACTCTCTCCATATTTTAATATATAACATTATTGATTTTTCAACCAACGTTTAACCATTCGTTTTATTTAAATTTTTTTGTAAATATGAAAATATTTATATCATATTTTAAAAATATTTAATGACGAATCAAGTCACAATAAAATAAATGATAATTACATAAATATTTTATATAAGACGAATGGTCAAACGTTGGATAAAATATCAACAGCGTCATATATTAAAATATAGAGGAAGTATTACACTAGACTCCACTTGTCAGTGTCATGTGATACGCGCATTTTCTCCTCTACCCGTACGTGTGCAACTCTGCGAGGGCCTCGCTGGTCCCCACGGAGAGTGAGTGGTCACGTTACGTCACGTCACGAAGTGTGGGCCCCAGTTACATGGGCCTACAGTCAGTGGAGCGGAGGAGGGAAGCTAAGCCCGTGTTTAGATTCATTTTTTTAAAAAACCTTCCAATTTACAGTCAGTGGAGCGGAGGAGGGAAGCTAAGGCCGCGTTTAGATTCATTTTTTTAAAAAACTTTTAATTTTTTCGTCGTATCAAATATTTAGACACATACATAAGCATTAAATGTGATCGGAAAAAAACCAATTATACAGTTTACATGTAAATCACGAGAAGAATCTTTTGAGCCTAATTACATCATGATTTGACAATGTGGTGCTACAGTAAATATTTGCTAATAATGAATTAATTAGATTTAATAAATTTGTTTTGCAGTTTACAGACAAAATCTATAATTTATTTTATTATTAATCTACGTTCGATTTAATATGTGTCCGTATACTTTAAAAAATATTTTGGACCAGGAACTAAACAAAGCATAAGAGAGATTCTGGAACATTCCTTGTGGAGTGTTGCTTGGGCTGTCGCGGTCGGGCCGGCCCAGGAAATACCAGGCGACGTGGCGGAGGCCACGGCCCTGGGCGCCCTATCCGTGGGCCGATAAGGCGCGCGTGGGCGCGCGGCCATACAAAGCCGCGTGGCCCTCCACCTCCGCACGGGTCGCTCTCCCCTCTCTTCCCCCTTCCTCCGCGGTTGGTGGTGGCTGCGCCGCTGCCCGCATCATCACCACCTCACCTCACCTCAGCTCGCGAGCTCCGCTCTCACCAACCGCAGCGCGCGACGAAGGGGATTGGATTGGGTTGGGTTGGATTGGAGAGAGAGAATGGCGGCGCCGTCGTCCCTCGCGTCCTCCCACCTCTCCCGCCTCGCCGACCTCCGCCGCGCAGGCGTCGCCGCCGCCGCCCCGGCGCATCCGCAGCAGCTCCGCCTCGGGTGCTCCCGCCGCCGCGCCCAGCGCGTCGTCGCCATGGCCGGATCCGGCAAGGTTGCCATCCATCCTCCTTCCTGCTATCGTTTAATTACACTTCCCTTCGTTGCCCTTTTGTGCTCGTGGCTGACGACTTGCTGCTTCTTTCTTTCTGCTGCTGCTGCTGTCCTTGCAGTTCTTCGTTGGAGGCAACTGGAAGTGCGTAAGTATCCGCTCCTCCTCATCAATCAACTTTTGCAGACGCACGGGGTACCTATGAGCAGAGCGATGATGGATGGAGATTCTGCTGCTGCTGCACCTTCGTGATCTTGAGTCGTTGGCGCCTTGTGGTTGCCGCCTAGGACATTCCAAAGATGAGCGGAATGAATGGGATTTTTTGTCGTCATCAATACATCGTGATCTACACCACACCTGGTCGTGTTTGCTAGATATGGAGTCGCTTTTGGTGCCACAAGATGTAGTCGTTTTTGGCTTAAGCAGTTCTCTTGGGGAATATGCATCTTATATGCAAAAATGTATAATTTTTTTCAGACTTCATCTTCTCAGTCCCTGGCTTTCTCATTTGCCCAAATTTCATGGAGTCGAGCAACTACTGTTACGTAGACAGGGATTGGTTCTAGTGCTCCAAGGATAAGAAAGTGTGTGCATCAGTATCTTGTCCAAAATAAATTAGTTCTAGTGGTCCGAGGGTAAGAAAGTGTGCATCAGTATCTTGTCCAAAAATAAAGATAGTAGCATCTTCTTTAGGCCATCCTTAGGACGAGCTGATTCAGTTGCTCATTTTTCCTTTTGGAGAATCATCTCGGTATTATATGTTGCTTCACTTTTTATCGAGAGCTTATGCTAACTATATCAAGACATGTTTCCCGACTTTTTGGTCAGATATGTTACTATCAGTATGATTGGTTCTGATGATATAATTTCTTGTCCCTCAATTTAGAATGGAACGAAGGACTCTGTCAGCAAGCTTGTGACTGAATTGAATGCTGCTACACTTGAACCTGATGTTGGTAAGCACGTTTTATTCATCTATGCATGATTCTCTTCCTCTCTATACACACTGTGTTAGATGTGTGTATTTGATTGGTTCTTTCATGCCTTCTTTTTCATCCAAATCCATCCTCCGGAATTCTTTTTAGCTTCCACTGTCTATCTTTTTCTACCTTCAATTAACTTGCTGTGGCAATACTGCAGATGTTGTGGTTGCACCACCATTCATTTATATTGATCAGGTTAAGAACTCACTAACTGATCGTATTGAGGTATCTGCTCAGAATGTTTGGATTGGAAAAGGAGGAGCATACACTGGAGAGATCAGGTAAAGCTAAAAACATGTTGCAATTTTCTTTTCTTTAGTATAATGCATTACATGGCGTCAGAACCATGTGTAAATTGATGATAAATGGTGGCGGTCTGTTCGATGTTTTTTACGGGATTATGGTAGCTTTGAATTTTAAGCAAGCGCAAAAAGATAATTTTTTGTTTCTTGTTTTCACACTGGAGTTTTTATATGTTTCACCTAAAATGTCTATAGTGCGGAGCAATTGGTGGACATTGGCTGCCAATGGGTTATTCTTGGGCATTCAGAGCGTAGACATGTCATTGGTGAAGATGATCAGGTAAGCGCTATATACACAGATGCTACTGGATTGGTAGTTCTCTCACTTGTCCACTTGTCCATGCTGTTAGCCTGTAACATTCTGAAGGCACCTTTGAGATGCATGATTGCTGTTGACATGCAGTAGTTCTGATTGGGATTGTGACATACCATGTTTATAAATGCAGTTTATTGGGAAGAAGGCTGCATATGCCTTGAGTCAAAATGTAAAGGTTATTGCCTGCATAGGGGAGCTGTTGGAAGAGAGAGAAGCAGGGAAAACTTTTGACGTCTGTTTTAAGCAGATGAAGGCTTTTGCAGGTGACAATTCTTCATCTTGAGTTAAATTAATAATGGTTGATGAGCCTACATCATCTGAAGACAAGATTCATGTATCAACATGTTGCTTTCAGACAGTATTACAAACTGGGCGGATGTAGTAATTGCATATGAGCCTGTTTGGGCTATTGGAACCGGGAAAGTTGCTACTCCTGAGCAAGCTCAGGAAGTTCATGCTGCTGTTCGTGATTGGTTGAAAACCAACGTGTCACCTGAGGTTGCTTCCGGCATTCGAATTATATATGGAGGTCGGTTTCTTATCACTTGGATGAGTTTCACTGTGTTTCTCCTCTCTTCACCCCATGAAATTGATTATTGGAAGGCAGAATTTAGGAACATTGATATATTATGAAACACTCTGTTATGAATGTCCTTAACAACAGCATCTAACAAAATGGATTTTTCTATTTTTCTCTTATATAAGCAATTGAAAGCCTGGTTATTCCTTGAAATATGTTGTTTGTGGTAAATATCTAGAAGCCCGATCTAGTGGTATCAGTACCTGCTAAGGCTTGTGACTTCAGAGAATATTTGCACCATTATTAATTTGATGCCAGCTAGGATGTGGCAATATGCCTCACTGATTTTATGATTCGTTCTGGTACAGGTTCTGTAAATGCAGCCAATTGTGCCGAGCTAGCAAAGAAAGAAGATATTGACGGCTTCCTTGTTGGTGGTGCCTCTTTGAAGGTATGATAAATTAACATCATATCCTGAAATACAGCCTGTTGATTGCCGTGTTCTTAAACCAATGAACCCGCTATTGTGTAATTGTGTATTGTATTTCATTACGCAACATTCCGTTTTGCAGGGTCCGGATTTTGCCACTATTATCAACTCGGTGACTTCCAAGAAAGTTGCAGCCTGATGTAACCCTTCTGTAGAAATAAATGACCCAGAGGCAGCGAGACGGCTACCACACCATATTGCTTGATAGAGATACTTCGTGTTCAATCACCGTGCTTGTTTTGGCACACGAGGGAATAATGCAAGATGCCACTGTGTTGTTTTTTCTCATAGACCTGGCTGGCGTTACGAGAGCCTATTATTTGTTAGTGAGTGAGTGACCAATAACACGTGAAAAATTGCTGCTATATGTGGTGTTACCCGACATCTGTGGAAGGCAAGGAATGTTGTGGTGTTGAGCATAATAATCGATGTTGCCGTAGGATCGTTGATCCTCCACACCTTACTGGCCCTGCAAGAAAGCCTGAACAGTGTTCACACAACAAAATACCAGTTTTCAATATTTACACAATAAAAACAACCCAGTAACTAAACTACTTATGGTGGAAAAACCAGATCCAGTCAGCTAAGTTTTAGATGATTGATTTCTAAGCGTAGGCACAAGACACCCGTTTGAATTGGGGGCAATTGCGTGTTTGGTGTGTATCAACTGTTTTTTTAGAGGTGTTAACTGTTGACCGCTCTTAGGGCCCTTCTTTTTCTACAGATTATATATATTATCACGGTAAAAAAATTATCGGTATTTCTTAGAAAGCTTTTTTTATCTAAAAAGAACTTATCAACCATTCAATATTTTATTCATTCATTTGAGTCTCGAATGATATTTTCAAACGAACCATCACTGTACATCAACATTTGTCAATACTCCACCCTCTCCGGTCGACAACTCGACACCATGTATCAAAATCTAAACAAGGTGCAAGTCAGCAAGTTGGGAGGGAAGGAAAGATACGGCGACCGCGTCGGCGTCAAACGGGTGGACGCCCGCGCCATGGGCGGCATTGCCAAATCCCACCGCCCGCGCTCGACGGCGGCCGTGGTGCGCCACTGCACTCTGTGCGTCGCAGCTGGTCGATCGCCGCGCGCGCGCGCCGCTGGGCGGCTGGCACAACGAGCGCGTCCTCCGCACCTCGCAGCATTTCTGCATTTGGAGAATTGGTGGCTGACAAGACAAGAAAAAGGCTCCGCTGCTTCAGCACAGGAGCTACCAAGTGCCAACGCAGAGGGAAGGGATCTCCTTTTTTCCCTTGTATGCATCGATCATGCGGCACGATCCTCGGCAGTATGCAACGAGCCTTGGCAGTATGGCATGAACTGCAAAGCTCTTTCAAGATTCACTTCCCTTTTGTTTTTCCCTACAAGATCTGCAGTTCCGATAAAAAAATATATACGAATACACCACTACCTGGCAATTCATGAACATGATACCACTTGCAAAATTTTATATATGTGGCGTGCAGATCATTTTAGTTTGTGAAACTTATCGCTCCTCCGTAGGTTTTGGTCGTTATCAATCAACAATTTAAAAAGTTGCTCACAAGGTAATGCATGAAATTTTGCCATTCCTAAATAAGCTTTGCATATAACTTAGCTTCGATTCGAGATAACTTTGTTCTAACAGGTCCATGCACATAAAATTAGGTGCAGTGATACATGGGCCAGTAAAACTCACATCCAAGGACAACATTACTCCTCTCTGGCAAATCTAATTTCCATGTTATGTGACAAAAAAGAAAAGAAAAAAATTTCCTATGGTGTGCACAGATTCTTCAGGTCTTCCTCCTTGGCATAGGTGTTTGGGATGAGCCTTGAAGCATAGGGATACAGATCCTTGTATGAATTTCTGATGGTACCTTCTGCCACACCAGTAGCCAAGGATATGTCTGCAACATTTTCACGGTGTTATTAACGAGTTAAACAGTTGCAAGTTAAACATAGAACGGGTCTGTGTTCCAAACCTTTCAGAGGCTTCTTATCATCTGAGAGTTGGGTTATCATGTAAATGACAGCAGCCGCAATGGAAATAGGACTCCTCCTGCACAGCATAGGTTTGCACGGAGGTGTGAATATAATAAGTCATGATGCACACTTGGAATTTGACTAATAAGGAAAGTTTGTGTCTAATAGTCAAAAACTAGCTCTCCTGCAGCCCTGCCCCTTCCCAATACATAAATGGGGATAATGAGGTTGTATGTATGGACTGTACAGGATATGTATGCTACTTGCTTTAAGAATATAGATTTGCTGATAGCTGTATTTGCAACTCGTTTATCTGATTAGTTCCTCTAGTCAATGCATTGATCTAAGCATCAGTGATTTAGAGGTGATAAACACTGAAGCTAAAACGGATAAAATAACTTCCATGACAAAGGATCTATTGATCATCAGAATGGTTCATAATGAATCCAAAATGTCAAACCTTATATCAAGTTCCTCTGAACGCTGAACTGCTTCCTGGGCTGCTTTAACAGCTTGATTGTTCATCCCAAGAGTTGAACAGAAACGCCTCTGCAGGTTTTATCAGTTTATTCAAGAGTTCACTCAATCAATTCAGACAAGGACTCATTAGAATACATGGCAAACTACAGACCAGGAAATCTCCAGCATGGATGGTTCCCATCTCCATAGATTGACCCATTTCAACTTCCAGTTGCTTCACGATAAATTCCTTTGCTCGGCCTATCTCTTTCTTTGTTGCTCCATTAGCGACCGAACATATTTCTGCAATAAGCCATCACATCAAACAAGAACGCATCAGATAAATGCATTCAGAACGCATTCAGATAAATGCATTCAGCAAAGAACAAACTGTACCTTTTACAGTTCTAGGCCGATCCTCTTGTCTACAAGCAATATACAAACAGGCAGCTAATATGGCATCTTGATTTCTTCCCCTGATAGACTTGAGATCTTCCACCTTCTTATATATTTCATTGGCTCGGTCCTTCAGAAAGAAAAGACAACACAGTCATTATACAGCTACAAGCAACCAGCATCGTGTTACTGTTCGTAGCAAATGAAATATGTCCAAAGAAGCAGCGGTTAATATTTCCAAAAGCTGACTATAGAGTAAACAAGTCATGCCACATAACATGGAATCGTGCAGCATGGAAGCAGCCTGATGAATTTTATATAAACTTTCAAGTCTGTTGTGTGCATGCAGGCATTATACTATCAAGTATGTACACTGCCAAGCAAGCGCAACTTTGAAAAAATAGGGGTAGTTCACCCAATATATCATGGAAAGTAACAGTCAGAATGTTTACCTTGATTGTAGCCACAAGACCTAACCTGGAGATGAGATTAGAGATATCATGTCAGAGTATTGCAGAAATCCTGTGATAAGAAAAATATCTAAACTGCCATAGCAGTAAATCATCGTGTTTCTGCATCTCCTTCAATCAAACCAAATAAACCTAACATCGTTTTTCTTCATCGAAGTTTCCCTTCCTATAGATCCACTAGTAGAAGAGGCTATTGCAATTGCACATGCCTCATGCCAAAAAGTAACATTTCACTAGTTCTAGCTTGCTAGGAAGCTAAATGGCTACCTCACATGCCTCAAGCAACTGGTGCTACACACCTTTTGTAGTAGATTTATCATTGCTCCCAAGGTACATAATACTAATACAACTACATGAGATGAGCATTTGGTGGTGCACAAAGTTAATTATACGCCCCGAAATTCCTTTTACACTTTTTACAATCTGATGATATTTATCGCATTATCCCAAATTCAGAAATCTATCAACGAAGAGTCCTTCCCCACACATAGATCCCAAGCGTAACCAGAGATGCATCAGTAAATCTACTGGATATATGAACCGCTCTAGAACTTCACACGAGAATCACACGTTCCAAACCTACAAACATGGCAGGCATAGCTGCAAAAGAAAGATCCCCATTACTCCAAAAGCCCCATCACACTCCTCAACTCCTAAATCCGCTCCCCCGCAAACCCAAATCAGGGCAGGGGCTCCGCACGATCAAGTGATTCATTTCAACATACGAGATAAATCAAGGGCAAGCCGCAGGCACATCCTCATGTCTCGATCGAATCGAGCCCGTAAAAAACTAAGCCGTGATGGTGGCGGAAGGGGAGAAGATTGGAGAAAGAGGAGGGACCTGTCGGCCATGTTGGCGATGGTGCGGAAGGCGAGGATGAGGGAGCGGTCGGGGTTGGAGCCGCGGTTCTGCCACCTGCCGAGGGAGGAGGAGAGGAACTCCCCCTGGGCGCCGTTGGGCTTGGCGATGACGGTGGAGAGGCCGCCGTCGGTGAGGAGCGGGTTGGTCGGGCCGCCGACACGGACGGGGTCGTTGTCGCTGGACTCGTTGGCGAACGTCCGCCACTCGGAGGTCTCGTCGACGGAGTGCGCCTCCAGGACGAGGCCGCACTCCGTGCACACTGTGTCCCCCGCCGAGTGGTCGAACGCCACCTCCGTGTGCTTCTTGCAGTCCGGGCAGAACGAGTCGCTCATCTCGCCCCCGCCGCCGCCGCCGCCGCCGCCTCTCTCCTGCCCTCGCCGCCGCGCCGCTCGTCGAGGCGATTTGGGGGTGGAGGAGGAGGAGGAAGAGAAGGAAGGAAGGGGAATGCGAGAGGTGGAGGTGGGCGATTTTATGTTGGGTTGGGTTTGCCCTTTTTTTTTTTCGGTTTCGGTTCGGGTCGGCTCGGTCGCGTCGCGGCAAGGCGAGAGGGGGTCCGTCCGACTGGGCTGACTGGTCCGGGTCGCCTACCGCGTCTGGTTTTTTCAGCTACGGTTTGGATGGCTGAAGAAACGTGCGGGTAGGCTCTCCCTGTCGCGTCTCGCTTCGTTGTCGTAGGTGATCTCGATACGGTGTTTGCAGTGGTGATATGGTCGACGTATTCATGTTGTTCTGCAGGAGATGGACGTGTCGAGTTAAACGATTAGTATTACCGAAATACCCCTATTTCATAAATCTTAATGTAATTGTTTTTCACTTTATCAATTCTCAATGTAATTATTTTATACTAGTACTTTTATAAATTTTGATATAATGATTACTTAAAAATGGATTTATTTTAGGACAAATAGAAGAAGCTAAAAATGAACTTACTGTGAGATGAGATGAAGAAGGTTGTGATTTCTGCTTTAGCAAGAGATTCTAAGAAACCGCTATTTATTCTCATAAATTAGATGAGAATTTAGATTATTTGGGGATCAGATATTATAAAAGTTGTTTATAACAGTAGTGTAACTCCACAAGCTTCTAAAATAGATCCTCGTTACCTCAACAGAGCATTCTTGCTGCAGCAAAGAAGGCAAAGTTTAACAATGGGGACCAAACCTGTTCAAGTAAGAGGGTGGCCGTTCGAAAAAACAATGGGGACCAAACAATGCAAGCGTGTTTGATGAATTTTAATCTCAGTCAGCTTTTCCAAACCAACTGACAACGCAAGCAGGGAGTCATCGTCAACTTTTCCTTTCGCTAGTTCCCTGGGCCGGGCTTTATTCTGGTTGGTCAACAAACCCAAACATTTGCACACGAGACTGATGTGAGATGCAAGCTACATGGCATGAGACAACCGCTAACCTCCCTACAATTCAACCAGATAATGTAGATTATGCGCATAACCAGTCAGTAAACCAGCGCGAACAGTATGTTAAATGGACTAGCACCTGGCATTTGACGACCCCCAAATGCCCAATGTTACGAGAACACGACTAGCCGATCTTCATGACACTTCCCTGCAACAAAAATAAATAATGTAATTCCTGCAAAATTGTTGTACTCACTTCTTCCCTAAATGTTTGACACCGTAGATTTTTTTAAACATATTTGACCATTCGTTTTATTCAAAAACTTTTGTGAAATATGTAAAACTATATATATATATATACACATAAAAGTATATTTAGGAATGGAGGGAGTATTTCATAATGAGGCCTGAAGATATAGGCACATTTTATCATGACTGGAATATCACATCGCAACCGCAAACATAATCAAAAGACAGCATCATCAGTTCACCGCCAACTTTCCATTGTAAAATCACGACCACCATATACTCAGAAACTAAATTGAAACAAAGTATCAGCACATTCGCAACTATAAACAGTCACATCAACGACCTGGTCTATGTTTAAGAAGACTCTAGTGCATTTTTGTCATTAATAGTTATACCTCAAAATATCAAGTAAAAAGAGCTCCGTCGAGACGCCGAAAGGAATTCTTATTCAGAGTATATAAAAATGGTGAAGCTGATAAAGTTCACTATCAAATTACATATCTACACTAGTGACCCTAAATGTAATAGCAGAAATCAGCAAGGATGAATGTATGAACGATTTCGTAATGTGCAGTGTGCTCCCAGTAAATTAAAGTGTAAACAAAGAGAACTAAAAAGAATAGTCACTCCAAAGGACATAGATGATTCTACGTCAGTGGGACGTCGTTCAACTCACGATCTCCGTCGACCGTCGCTTGCACATCGGACGGACTTTGTCGATCTTGCCATGGCCGGAGGCCGATAGTCCCAGTGAGCTCAGTAAGGCTCCTGCTTGCTTACTCTCACCCAACACCTCCTGATTCCAGTGAATCCACAGCATATGCAGTTGACGGCGGCTACGTACTTCTTTGAATGAAAGATTGTCTCCAGTGGGTGGTACTCTCCGACGAAATGCATCCATGTCAGTCAAACGACCGACGACGAACCGTCAAGAGAGAGATGGACTCGGATTCAAGGTACGTAGAACTGTACTTCGTTTCTTTTTAGTTGTAACTATTCCGAATTGGATATGGCAGCACTTAGTTTTTAATTTGCCTGGAAGGGAAGGAAAGAAGACAACTGATCGATACAAGCAGTCACCAGATATCATCATCCATTCATCATCTCTGCAATTCAGTTCAGCGGCATCGATCACCATGAGCAGCAGCATCAAGGATGAGATCGACGCTGCGTTCGCGGCGGGAGCAATGCCGCCGGAGTGGCGGCCGAGGCTGCTGGCGTCGCCGCGGCTGGGCGAGCGCGACGTCGACAGGATCGCGGCGTCCATCGCCGAGATCCATTGGAACCTGCAGCTCGACGGGTCGACCCAGCTGTCCGTCGCTTGTGTGGCGTTCTGGTTCGTCGTCGGCGTGCTGGTCTTATGCGTGGCTGGCCTTTTCTTCCTCGAAAACGACTACATGAGTGGACCGTTCGCCGTGGTTGGGGCCGTGCCCTGCGTAGTGATCACTCCTATAGTAACCGTGGCTTATGAGCGCCGTCGACGGAGGGCCAAGATGCTCATGGTGCGAACGCGAACTGTCCTCGAGCACTTTCTGCTTCCACCTATTTAATCTGTACTGGTCTAGCTTACTATTGTATTGATGATGATGTCTTTTCATGTAAAAGAAAAAAGAAACTATATACGAGCTTGTTTGGATTGAAGCTAATTTTTATATCAATAAATGTTTAGTATGCTACTAGTTTTTGCCTATAATAATTAAAACTAGTCACATAGTCACACTTTGCTCGACTTTTGATCCCACGAAAAAACTTCTATATATAATTTATTAGTTTAGTTAGCTTTTAAGAAGGTTTTGACGTAAGTTCATTTATCTAGTAAGTATAAATTGTCTAACCAATTATAGATTTAGCTAAATTATACTAGAGTACACTCCCTCCGTAAAGAAAAACAACATAGTATGTGAGAATTTGATACCACTTAGGAAAATGAATCTAGGCATGATGAATCACTAGAAGGCTCCTGTTTTTTCATCGTAATTGCCCCTCTCTTTCTTTGTTCATGAGTTTAAGAGGTGGCACTATAAACCTCCAGAAATTTTCATATATTTAGCTCATTTGTGTTTTTCTTTAAATGCATATACTTTTTTATCTAATGGCCATTGTTTATTCAAACTTTTTATCCGACGGTCAATACGTTTTTGATGATGTGCCGTATTCTTGTGTAGGAAAACTTGTTGCTTTTACTTGGTAGCGCCAACAATTGCAAGGTTTTAGTACTACCAAAATTTTGTTAGGCCAAAATTTAGCTTTGAACCTAACAAACCCTTACCTCTTTTTTACCTCTCTTACGTATCGCCATTAGACTTCCTCCATGATTGCTCGTCTTGAGTCCAACATGCATTCGAGGATGCACTGGTCTTGGCCTGTTTGACCCAATAATATTTAGCCATGGAAGCCTCGTTAATTAGTACGAAAATGCAAGAGGTAAAACACCGATTGGCATCACTAGATGTCTAGATGTAAGGGGAAGGGGACGTATGGTGGATTGGTGGTACGCATGGATGTAGGACTGTGGATAAACCAAAGTAGTGCGGCGGCCTCGACATTCAGAATCTGGAATTATAGAACAAGGAGAAAACGGTTATTTAGGTTATGTAAATAGAGTAGTATGGCAAGATTTTCTTATGAAAAAGTACTCACACTTCTGATAAGGGTTGATGGGTGTTAAGGCTGATATCTTAAAGTTTGGGACTTTTGATATATAGAACAACACTCAGCTGAGATTTTGATAACAACACTCAGTTGAGAGGATCGTAGGATAGATAACTCCTCTTTTGTTAAGTTGTCTGTAGAATACCGCTACAGAGCGTTCCTGCTGATGGGGACCAAATCATGCAAGCGTGTTTGATGAACCTTAATCCCAGTCAGCTTTTCAAAATGAAATGGCAACAAACAAAAGGATTTGCACACCAAACTGATGCGAGATGCAAGCTACTAGGCATGAGGCAACTGATAACCTCCCTAAATTCAACCAGATAATGTAGAGTATGCACATAACCAGTCAGTAAACCAGTGCGTACAATATGTTGAGTGGACTAGCACGGGGCGGCTTTGACGATTCAATGTAACACGACTAGGCGATCTTTATGACACTTCTCTGCAAACAGAAATTCGTACCACAAGAATCTCTCCGTAGCTTTGCCCGGTAAACAATATAACTAGCCGTGCCCCCCGCGCGATGCGCCGACATCATCCAAGATAATCTTAATCATAAAAAAAAATCATAATAGTAAAAAATAAGCATGATTGAAAACAACATAGCACATAACAGAGCTACACAACAATAATAATAATAATAACTCGATCAGAAAGAGAATATCACGATGTTCTCAATTTTGAGTGATTTAATTGGACCATAATATTTTTTATATAATCAATGTTACACGAACAACGGGTATCTCGGTGCATAATACAATTACATCAACAAAAGTAAAATAAACAACATTAGTATTTCAATACCTAGCAGAGTAGCAGTTCCCAGGAAGACCAATCAGTGGGCGATGATTAATTTGGAAGGATAGTCAAACAAAACTATGTCCACAGCACATCACAGTTGTGTCCCCTGCGCATTGCGCGGGCATATGAGGCAACCTATAATAACTCAAGATCAGAATTGGGCATATCACAAGATAACATGCAACACTGTTCCACAGTAATAGCGCAATATCAAAAAGGGCATATAATCTAACAATGTTCTCAGTTTTGAAGTGATGTAATCAAACCAAAAGTTTTTTTAAGAGCAATCTTACACTAACAAACATGGATCTCGGTACATAGTAGACAACATTCTTAATTCGATACCAGCAGATC